GCCTCTTGGGGCCTCTTGGCGGCCTCTTGGGGCCTCCTGGGGGCTTCTCGGGGCACAAATACCGAATGTTCGGTTCGTGGTTCCCTGCTTGGGCCCCTCTTGGGGCCGTCTTCGGGCCCTCTTGGACCATTGGGCCATTTTGGAGCACTCTTGGAGGCGTCTTGGGCTGTCTTGGGGCGGTCTTGGGAGCTTCTTGAGCCGTCTTTGAGCGTCAGAAAGTCAAACATTTGAGAAGGCCAAATGCATTCAAAAACCATAGTAACATCTACGATGTTGGTTTCTTGGGGCTCTCTCGGGAGGCCTCTTGGAGCGCTCTTGGAACCATCTTTGGGCGCCTTGGAGCATTCTTGGCCTCTAGAATGCGAATCTAGCGTAAGTTGCAGGGGTTAATGGCTTCGGGGGCTCGAATATTGCATACTCTACCAGGGTCCGTTGCTTCGCGGACGCAACACTTGCATTATCTACAAAGGCTTGTGGCCTCGGGGACGCGAGCATTGCGTAATGTACTAGTGATTATGGCCTCGGGGGTGCGAATCTCATGTATTTTTACGTGTCCCATGCCCCCACGGGAATTCAGACAACGCGACCTTGGCGTGTCAACAGGTTCTTTGGGGCTCCCACCCTCACGCGGACTCAGATAATCTACAGTAGGAAGCCGAAAGCAGGACTGTAACAATGGAGATTTGAAACTGCAACTGGCGCAGGAAGCAGCAACTTCGCCCTACAGCCTGGTGGCCCCACATGGGGGCCAGCGGATTCGGATACGCCTATGTGGCCAAACATGTGGGCAAAGTTTGGCCACGCTAGTGGACCATGCGTTTCCCCTGGTGTTGTGGAAACCCTTCGGGGAACACGTGGGGGAGAAGTATGAAGACGACGAGAAGGAAAGGGAGGATGAGGAGAAGAAATAGGAGACCTCTTACGTAGGAGCTTCGTGGGTTCTTCTTGGGGCCTCCTGTTACCTTCCCGGGGGCCTTGGAGGCCTCTTGGGGGCCTCCTTGGGCCTTTTGGGAGCCTTTTGGGGCTTCTTGGCGGCCCCTTTGGCAGTCTTACGGCGTTCCTGGCCCGTCTGACGCCGTCGGAGGCCGTCTTGGGAGCCTCGCTGGGCCGTCTTGTGGTCCTCTTGGGGCGCTTCAGGGTCGTGTTCAAGGCCATCTCATGTGTCTTGGGGCCTCCTGGGGCCGGCCGTTTGGGGGCCGTCTTGGGAGCCTCTTGGGCCGTCCTGGGACCATCTTGGAGGCCTCCTCGGCGATCTTAGGGCAATCTTGGGGGCCTCTTGAGCTGTCGGAAGGCCGTTCGGAAGCAAATGCCAGCATCCTTCGCACACCTAGGGAACATTAGGGACTGGCGGTTGTTGTGTGTTTGTTGCTTGTGAGCACATCTTGGGCGCCTGTGGGAGGCTTCGTGGAGCTTTTTTGGGGCTTCACGGGGGCCTCTTGGGGGCTTTTGAAGGGCCTCTTGAGCTGACATTCTCAGCATTCGCCGTGCACGCATGGGAAAAGGCGGATAAGCAATTGTCAAAGCGCCCGAAGAGTGATCATCGAATGGCCTTCGGCACATCCAGCGAGGATGGCCGCCTCCCTACGACGCCCCTTCACAGAGCCGTGGCCCGCCAGCGAGGGCAGCACCGTCAGTCGTTGAGGGTACCAGGCCTCGCCGACTACAGGGAGGAGGTGCATCACGCGTTTCCCCCTGGGCCCTCTCGCGTTGGATTCGTGTAGCCCCAGCCCCGTGCTGCGGTGCCAGTATAGTGGAGCAGCCTCGGCCAGCCGCATTTTGGCGAGCCCAACGTAGAGTAGGAGCCAGAATCCCCGTACCTCTGGGGCCTTGTTATCCAACCCCAATCCACCAACTGTTTCCCGTCGCCAACTGCGGCAAAGGGCCATGTGCCAGAGTTCGAGGGGGGACGATTCCGAGGGGACCGGGAGACGTTCGGGTGCGTCTCGCGCGTACCGTCTGACCCCCTGCTCATCACACTTCACGTTCAGTGAGCTCGTTGTTCGTCCCGTCGTAATCGTACGTCTCCTCCTCCCGAGCAGCCCTTGGCTCCTCCCAGTCGAGCGTAACACAAGACATCCCGCCCTTCGCCTCGGGAAGCTCGCACGTGGCAAGCCATTCCTCAGAGGATGGGAGGGGACTGGAGCAGAGCCCGCCGCCCCGGCGCTTGGGACCGAACCTCGCCCTGGCAGCCCGTCGAGAGACCCGCATGGCCTCCGCACATCGTCGGCGTCGTTCCTGAGGGAGGCTCGCTGGCGTCGTGCGGCCTGGCGACGGACACGCTTGAGCTCGTGGGAGAGTCGCCTACGTGCGGAATCGATTCGCTCGGCCTCCTCCGTAGCTCCCTCCTCATCAGCCCTAATCATCGTCCGCCGTCGTGGCAGGTCTCGTCTGTAGGCACAGTCCTCGACATATTGGGGGGAAGGTGGGGGTCGTTTCCGAAAGTGCTCCCGTCCCGCCGCCATCAGAACTGATTCCAAAGTTTCGAAGCCAGGATCTGGAGAAGCGTAGTCCCGTAGGTGGACGGAAGGTAGGGCACGTATTTGGTTCTGTAAACTCTGCAGGTAGTCCAACCGGCGAGTCCCCTTCCTGAGCCCCTCCAGCATAGTACCATAATTTCAAGGTTCCCGCTTTGTCGTCGTCCGTCGTTCGTTGCCTTCCATTGCAACGGTAGCACAGGGCCAGCGGGAGGCGGTTCCGAGGCGCAGGGCCTCGTTGAGTGTGGAGTTTCGTTCCCATAGCTCTCAGGACCGACGCCTTTGTGACCGATGCGGGCATACCCCGATGCCAGAACATATAGTCGATACGGCTAGCCCCGGTCCCCATCATAGAATTCTTTACGCTTCGCGTATCCCCACCAGCCCATCTCACAGCAGCAACTCTTGCGAAGCATGCCGACAGTCGTGTTTTTCAGGCGTGTGTCCGCTTGGCCCCGCATATCTCCCCTGTTCCTCCTTCCTTCCGCCTCCTTGTACATCCTCCTTGTGGGGGGAGCGGGAGAAGGACGAGGCGGAGGAGGAGGGAGAGAAAGCGCTCCTCGTGTGTGAGTCGTTCGGGCTCCTCGTGGTGTGAGTCGTTCGGGCGCCTCGTCCTGGTGTGAGTCGTTCGGGCCCCTCCTTGTGGTGTGAGTCGTTCGGGCTCTTCGTGGTGTGAGTCGTTCGGGCCCCTCGTCCTGGTGTGAGTCGTTCGGGCTCCTCGTGGGGCCTCTTGGGGGCCTCTTGGAGCCTCTTGGGGCCTCTTGGGGGCCTCTTGGGGGCCTCTTGGGGGCCTCTTGGGGGCCTCTTGGGGCCTCTTGGGGCCTCTTGGGGGCCTCTTGGGGGCCTCTTGGGGGCCTGTTGGGGCCGCTTGGGGGCCTCTGGGGGGCCTCTTGGAGGCCTCTTGGGAGCCTCCTGGGGGCCTCTTGGGGCCATCTTGGGGCCTCTTGCGACCTCCTTTGAAGCGCAAATGAGAGCTGCCCCCTGAGAAGGACAAAATGAACCCAAAACCTTCGTAAAATCAATGATTTTGCTATGAAGGAAGATGAGCGCGGCCCCCTCAGGAGGCCAACATGGGGCCAAAACCGTAGTAAAGTCAATGATTTTGGCTTCAAAGACGAGCTGAGGCACCAAACTCCCCCCCCCCCCCCTCGGGGCCAGAATCCTCGTGAGGGTCGTCGTTTTTTGGCCCTCCCAGACGTCGAAAAAGACCCCCCTGACGACCCGCGGAACTCCCTCTCCAGGTCCAGGGGGAGGGGGTAGGGGAGGGGTAAACCCCTCCCCGAAGGGGAAGAAGGGGGGTTGAGGACAGAGCGGGCTCTCTAAACCACTCACGCCCAAAGGGCTGGTGGGAGTACGTAGGTGAATACGTGCTGGTATGTATCGCCATCATATCGGGTTGTTCCATGAGTTCCCGCATATTTTGCCCCGCGCTTCCCACCGTACGTTCTTGTGCACACGTCTCCGCAACTGGAGTGACCAAGTCCGTCCAGTGGTCGTCCTGCCAAGTGGTCCCCATCCCGTCGCTTAGATCAGAGTATCGTATTGGCGTGCAGCGGATAGGTAACGCATCCACTAGCGTCGATAGAGTCATTGAGTAAGTGGGGTTACCGTCTTGAAGTATTTACGTCGCTAGTTCCACCATTTCGGGCGGGGGGGGGCGTATATAGTAATCCGGCACACATCCACAGGTCCTCGCTTCAGGCGGGCAGCCAGGCATCTGCCTGCAGCCTCGGGTGGGCTCCCCCCACATTGATAGATATCAGACTCCTGAGAAACACCATTTAGCACAATCGCGCACCCGCAGCTGTTGTTCCTGTACACTTGTGGTCCGTGCGGGGCCTCACAGACTTTGCGGTCCCCTACACGTCGTGGTAACACATCGCCACCCCCTAAGCGATCACCACATTTCGTGCAACATAGTAGGATACAATCGAAGTGCCCCCCTTCCAAGCATACTTCTTCTAGTCGATCGCCCGTCGCCCAGGGCGCTACAGCCTAAGCATCTGAGCATACAGCAAGGGAGTACAGTAAGGAGAGTGGAAGGTGAGTGTGAAAGGCGCTCGCCAGCCAGGCTGGTTCTGGAGGAAGTGGGCGGCACCCTCCCCATGAGCGGGGTGTTCTCCAGTCTTGCCCGTGGCCGAAAGACTTGGGCCTCGGGGGCTGGAGGAGGAGGAGGAGGAGGAGGAGGAGGAGGAGGGATGAGCAGGAGGAGGAGGAGGAGGAGGAGGAGGGATGAGCAGGAGGAGGAGGAGGAGGAGGAGGAGGAGGAGGAGGAGGAGGAGGAGGTAGGAGCAGAAGTCCTGTTGGCACACTCGCGTAGCACAGATTCTCGTGGGGGCGACTCTTAGAGAGAGTCGAAGCATGTGGCTCGCAAGGGCTTGATCTCATTGCGATTGCATCGTTGTGATTCCAAGGCTATCGTTGTGTTTTCAAATTCACCTCGCCGACTTGAGTCGTTTGGAGTTGCTTGCTTCCTTTCAACCCCCCTCTGCCCGTGCGCCGAGGGTGGAACAAAAGCATCTCCAGGAGGTGCTCATCTCGCTCGACGAGGTGGCCGCACAGGATGATGGCGCCACTGGTGCGCGGAAGATGACAGGGGTTGGCTTGCTTAGCGCTCGGGGGCAACCGTCTGACGGTGGAGACATGTCTCCGACAAGCGCAACCCAGACATGCTTGCGTCGTAAGACAGTCATGAGGGGAAGTTGTTGTCCCGTTTCGTTCCCAGGGGCTCCCGTTAGTTAGGCCCCAGAAATGTCAAACCATATCCGGGATGAAACATCTGCCCTGGAGAAGGGGTCGACATTTTCACGGGGTCCACGCTGTGAGACAATCACGACGTCGGGGGCGTGGGTGGATCTCCCAAGTCCCCCAGCGTTATCAGCTTCCTAAGAGGGACCCATGGAGGTCCGGGCCCCTTCGGCCATTCTCTCGTCCCGATGTTTTTGCTGACAGTCCAGGAGCCAGGCGAGGGCCCCTGGATTCCGAAGACTGCCTAGAACTCGGGTGTTACGTGATGGGGGGGATGAATGTGGGTGAGGTGGGGGGGACTTGCATTTTGGGTGCCCCTTGTGAGCCCCGGGGGGCGCCTTCAGGGCACAAACGTAAACATTTCTTCGCCCCTATTTATCGCCCCTCCGCATGAGGCAACGCCCGAATAACTTCTGGCAGCATTTTTGTCACGACGCCAGGGTTTTGGGTCCCGTCGTATTGTGTGTCCCAACCCTCCTGTGTGCTGGGTTCTCGTTTTGCATAGAGAACTGTGTTCTCCATTCCCAATCCTCGTCCTCCTCCACCCCCTTCCTCCTGCCTCCTGCCTTCGCGTCTTCCTTTCTCGTACCTTTTCTACTGGGGGGCTGCAAATTGCGCAGCAGTCGCCACTTTCGTGGGCTCCTGGGAGGTCCAGCGGAGTGGAGTTACACGCAGACCCGTTGGAGACCTCGCTGCTCCTTGGGTGGCTGCGAACTGCGCAACCGTCGCCACTTTCGTGGGCTCCTGGGAGGTCCAGCGGAGTCGGGGGCCACGCAGACCCATTGGGGACCTCACTGGAAGGCTGCGACCTGCGGAGTGGGCTCCTGGGATGGCCAGCGGAGTGGGGTCCCACAGGAGATCTGGCGAGACCTCGCGGCTCCATTGGGGGGCTTTCGTAGGCAAGCGCGTTGCGTATCTTACAGTGCGTTTTTGCAGAGTGGCGCACACGGAGACAGGGTTGAGCACGTCTCGGATCATCTTCACGCCTCCGCCCCCGACCGCCGCTCCCGACGGCAGGGTGGCACAGACCTCGCCGCGGGCCCAGCCTTTCACAGAGGGGGGGTTACTTGTCCGAGGCAGTCCTGAGAGACCAATTGGAGGGATCGATGGGGTTGACATCTCGCCCTCGACGGAAGGGCGGCCGAAGCCAGCGGAAGTACAGCGTGCGCGGCTCCTCCAGCGGAGGCGGGCGGAAGACCAGCGGAAGTAAAAAAACACCCTCAAGAGAGTGTGATGCTTTGGGGTTGAGAGTTTCTGGAAATGGTGGGGAGTTTAGTCGCGTAAAGTATTCATGCGCATGCACCCCGCTGTGGCCTTTGCGGGGTCTCCCGGGAAGTGAGTACGACATGGGTGATACGTGAGGGGCGGAGCAAGATGCCTGTTGAAAAACGCTTCTGTACCCCATGGGGGCATCGGATGGTTCGGGCGAGGTGGTCAGGTGGCGGGTCAGAACGTGGGTTTCTGATGATGTGCACACCAGTGCCCTGCTCGAGCCCAACGTGTGCTGTGCGAGTGGAGCGAAACACGTGGGCAGTGGGCCAAGCTGAGCTTGTCAAGGGCGTGCCCCCGCCAAATGGTGCTTCTGCTGAGGCCACATGTGGGTGGCCGGCGGACCGCTTCGGCGGTGGGCCTGCAGCTCCGCCGGGCAGGTGTTCCGGCGGGCGGGGCGGACACTGACCTGCGGGCGGGCAACAGATTCAACATTTTCAACGATGTCTTTCCCCAGCCGTCGTGGACATCCTTGGGATAACATTTTGGGAGTGAATCGAGGAGGAGGAGGGGGAGGAGAAGAAAAAGGAGAGGGCGGAAGCGGGCACGAGGATAAGGAGGCGTCTTGGAATTTCTCGCGGGTTTCCTAGGGGCCTCTTGGGGGTCTCTGAGGGGCCTCTTGGGAACCTCAGGGGGCTTGGGGGCCTCTTGGGCCGTCTGAGGGGTCACGTGGCTCGTCGGACGCCAGCCATCGGACGCCGCGCTGCTGGGCCGTCTTGGAGGTTCGATTGGGCTGTGTTGAGGCCGTCTTGGGGATATCTTGGCCCGTGCTGGGGCTCTCTTGGGGGCTTCGTGGATGCCCCTGGGGCCGTCTTCGGCTGTCGCATGCTCGACGAGGCGAGAACGCGAACATCCCTGAAGAATCTCAGTGAAAGAATGAGTTTGGCTGCTTCGGGCCCTCCTCCAGTGCCTCTGAGAGGTCTCTTTTGCCGCGTGGAGGCCGTCTTGGACCGTTTGGGAGGCATCTTGGGCTCTTGAGGGGCCATCGTAGCCGTCTGGGATGCCTCTCGGGGCGGTCTTCGACGCTGTCCTGGGCCATGCTGGCGATCCCAGAGGCGAGTCTTTGATCTGGTGTGGTGCCGTCCGGGTGGTCGGCGGGTGGGGCCGGATGCGAAGTCTGGCGCGCCAAGCAAGCCAAAGGTCGGGTGTTGTCAGAAGTACCCCGGGCCCAAGGTACCCCCAGGATTCTCGGGGTGGCCCAGGCGGCCTCCAGGGGCTCAAAATTGGAGCGAAAAGCTGGGGGCACCTTGGGCCAGGGGTACTTCTAGCAACACCCGAAAAGGACACGGCGGGTTTGGTGGGTTGCGCCCCGACCCGCCTCCGTGCCTGGGTCGTGGGGGCCTCTCGGGGCCCTCCTCACTATCGCTTCCTCGGGCGGCTTGGGGGCCGCCTGGCGATCTCGGAGGCCAGCTTGGAGTGCGAGGCTCGCAATGTAACTTCGAGTTCCCCCGCTTGGGCCTCCTGGAGTCATCTTGGGGACCTCTTGGGTTCCTCGGGGGCCGCACTGGGGCGATCTTGGGGGCCTCTTTGGCCGTCTCGTTTCCTGGAGGCCGAGAAACTCAGCACGCGGATCTCATACGAAAAAACAGATGTTGCTCAATGAGCTTGGCCTCATGGCCTGCCCCAAAGGCCTCCAAGACAGCCCAAGATGCATCCAGTATTCGGGGGTGGACAGACCTCCAACCCTGACACGTCGATTCATGAATTGGCCGTTTTCGGTTCGCGAGAGGGCGTCGCGGCCGTCATTTTTGAGGGTCTTGGTCCGTCGGTGTCGGTCCCAGGCCGTTGTCACTAAGGGGAGGTCTACCAAAGGGAGGGTTGTCCACCGCCGAAGTATGCACGTTTGGAAGTATGGAAACCCAGGCACGGTCTCGAGGCTTCTGGACGAGGCACGCGGGGCGCCCAAAGCGTCCCGCGCCGCGCCCCAGGAGATCCGCCCCTGGAGCCTTCGAGTCCTCTTAGGATCGCACGGTCGTCGACGCAGTGGACTCGGAGGGACATTCGCATACTCCACGCTGCCGGGCGGCGCGTCGGCGGATATCGCTACGTCTCACGCAGTCTGAAGATGTAAGGACAGCTTGTCCGAGCAGTACGCCCGAATGCGTCTGACGCAGGGCATGGTGACGGTCGCGGTGCCGTTTTCGAGGTAGTAGAGAGGTTCGTTTGTGATGTGTGCAAGTCTTAAGGTTGGTTCACCGTACGCCCTCCTGCCAAGCTGCCAAGGTCTACATCGCAGTCCCCGAGACGGAAGCAGGGGAGGCGTTGTCGAGCGGGTTGGCACGGGAGAGTGCAAATTGTTCACAGGAGTTGAGATGCATGCGTTTGTTCAATTGTTCACTTGTGCACGCAAATTTGGGTCCCGACATCGCCCATTCGGCGTCAAGATATCACTGGTAATAGTACCTTCACTGCAGCCCCTCCCCCCTGCTCTTGCCCCCTTCCTCCTCATCCTGCTCATTCTCCCCTCCCTTGCTCTACTCCCTCCTCCCTCCCTCACCTCGCCCCCCTTCATCCTGGGTCAGAATGAGGGGGCCGAACGGTCCTACACCGCCCTTCGGTGTGTGGTTGAAGTGCGTTTCTGCAGTGCGGATCCTCGCTGCTTTTGTTGAACTCTCACTATTGAAGAATATTGCTGTTGATCCCCCCCCTCCGGTGACCCTTGTGTTTTTTCAGTTGAAGTGCTTTCCCCGGGGCTCGCACCTTTTTTTTGCCAGGGAAAGTCACAAGGGTCCAATTGTGCTCCTAGCCCCCGGGTTACAACAACAAAAACGGCTCCCGCTTGAGACTTCCTCACAATTTAGCCAGGACCCCCGCTCCCGCATGAGACTTCCTCTTGTAGTTCTCAGGAATCGCGCTCTTGCTTAGGACCGTCTACAATTTATGCAGGAATCGTTTTCTCGGCGCTCTGGAGTCGCGCTCTCGCTGGATATTTGTTTGCAATTTACTCAAGAATAGCGCTCCTGCGGTGGACTTCCTTTGCAATTTACTCAAGCGCCGCGCTCCCGACACTCAGGCACCCAGGAGTCGCGCTCACGCGTTGGACTCCTTCACGGCTTGCTTAGGAATCGGGATCTCGCTGCCCTTCGTGGCCCCGTTGCAGCCTTTCGTGGCCACCTTGTTTCCCTTTTGTAGACCCGTTGCAGCCCTTCGTGACCCCCTCGCTTCCCTTTTGTGGCCCCGTTGCAGCCCTTCGTGACCCCCTCGCTGCCCTTCGTGGCTCCGTTGCAGCCCTTCGTGGCCCCCTCGCTTCCCCTTCGTGGCCCCGTTGCAGCCCTTCGTGGCCTCCTCGCTGCCCTTCGTAGTCCCAATGCAGCCCTTAGCGGCCCCCTCGCTGCCCTTCGTGGCCCCGTTGCAGCCCTTCGTGGCCCCCTCGCTGCCCTTCGGCTCCGTTGCAGCCCTTCATGGCCCCCTCGCTGCCCTTCGTGGCCCTGTTGCAGCGCTTCGTGGCCCCCTCGCTGCCCTTCGTGGCCCCGTTGCAGCGCTTCGTGGCTTCCTCGCTGCCCTTCGTGGCCTCGTTGCAGCCCTTCGTGGCCCCTCCCCCTCTGTCATCACCTTCCTGGGACCCCCTCTGAAATTGAGAAAGCGTTCCTGTTGCTGCCGCTGCTGCCTTTTCCTCGCACCTCAGACAAAGAGTACACGTCACATGTGGCTAGAATCGGCAGCGCCCAGCACAGCGATTTCAAGAGCCGGGAAGCTACAGGCGGCCGGAATAGTAGGTCGGCCTTGCCAGCTCAAGGGTGCCTTTGTATCCTGTGCCTCGTGACGCGTGCCTTGTTACACTCCCATGGCGATGTGGCCCTTGGAAGGGTCTTGTGTCCTCTCCGCGTGTCCTGTCCAATCAAGGCCAACTGTATATACGTCCAGGTAAGGACCACACATCATCTCTAAACGAATCGGCGCAAGCCCGCCTCGAGGGCTTGTCCCTGCCTTCGCCGAGGACACTCCCGTCAGCACCGTTTTGGCTTTACGTGTCGTTTGTTTCGGCAGCGTTCGTGATGGCTGCAGTCGTCATGAGCCATGGCATCCGCCGATTGTTCCAAGACTTGTCTCGTTGTTTCTGTTCCAATCACCACGTTCCAGTATATATATACATACATATATATATATATACAAGTGGCACGTGTGTGCCCAGGCTCATACAAAAAACTGAAGGGGCGTTTGAAGCAGGAGTGAAATGCAACATCGGAGTCGCACTCGAGCGCAAGTGGGGTTGCCACACCTTGCGATGTGTGTACCAGGGCCCCCAGGAAGCCTTAGGAGGCCCGACTTGGATACCAGAAGAGGCTCCAGGAGGCCCCAGGATTGTGAGTGTTGTGCGTGTGTGTGTGTGTGTGTGATGTATGCTTCGTGTGGTGCGTGCTTTTTGTGTGTTGTAGGTGTGTGTGTGTGTGTGTTATGTTTGTCTAGCGTGTGATGTGTTGGGCGTGATTTGTGTCTCTGTGTGCATGTAGTTCTGAAGCCCCAGGAGGCCCCAGGAGGCCCCAGGCGGCCTCAGGAGGCCCCAGGAGACCCCAGGAGGCTTCAGGAGGCCCCAAGAGGCTCCAGGAGGCCGCAGGAGGCCCCAGGAGGCCCCAGGAGGTTTCAGGACACCCCCAGGAGGCTCCGAGGCGGGGTCTGGGGTGCCAGAAGGTTCAGAAGGCCCAGGAGGCCCCAGGAGGCCCCAGGCGGCCTCAGGAGGCCCCAGGAGACCCCAGGAGGCTTCAGGAGGCCCCAAGAGGCTCCAGGAGGCCGCAGGAGGCCCCAGGAGGCCCCAGAAGGTTCCAGGAGGCCCCCAGGAGGCTCCGAGGCGGGGTCTGGGGCTCGATTTGGGAAGGATTTTTCAAGCGAAACCGCCATTCACTGAGAATCGGGGTAACAATTATTGAAATTACCATATGGTTTTGAAGGTTTTATGTTAAAATGTTGAATTTCCCATGTGTTTTTGGACCCTGACGTCGCGATCTGCGTGAGGGGTGCCACCGATTTTCAGAATGTCGAGGATGTCCCGAGCGAAACGCCCAGAAACATCGCGGACGCGTGCACATTAATCGCCTCTGAGCTCTACTCCCTCGGAGAGGTGCGTATGAGAATATATGTATACAGCGGGAACCCATGCCAAGAAACATCTTGTTTGTCTCCACGGCGTCCTTAGTTTCTTGGGTTCCGATCGTTTTGCTATGGGAAGCGTGGCGTTCCTTCACCATAAATCAATGGACGTTCTGGGGTCTCATGGTTTGGCTTCTTGTGGAAGGTCTTTAGTGGTCGAGCTCCTACTGTAACCCTCCCACACTGTCGTCGACAATGCGATATCTGGATTTCTCTAAGGGTCGTCCCGTCCGTGTTCGGTCGGTCGTCTTGTCACGGACCATGTAGGCTTCGGATCCGTTTCTCTTATTGCGTGTGTGTCTGTGTATGTTCAGCTCCCCCCTCTTTCCTCCTCTGCCTCCTCGTCCCGTCACCTTTCGTTTCCCTTCAGGCTTTGAACACTTATATTGTCATATTTGTGTCTCCCAGCCCAGAGTTCATCGCATGATCTTACCTACATGCTACAGCAGGTCGGCTCGTGTAGCGTAAATGATTTACTAGCGATTGTTTGTTTCACGCTACTGTGCTAGTGGCGACGTTGTGAGGTTCAGTGGTCGCGCACTCCTCTTCTCCCCTCCTTCCCGGAAAACTCCTCCTCCCTCGGTAGCACATCATTGGAGCCTCTTAACTCAGTTTTTAGCGTCGGTTAGCGTCTGGGAGTCGATGAGATAGCGCCGATTTAGCGTCTGCTAGCGTCGAGTAGCGTCGATTGAGCGTCGACTAGCGTCTACTAGCGTCAATTAGCGTCGATTCGCAAGAGCCAACAAAATTGTATGGGAGGCTCCCATGAGTTGCCACCGAAACTTCTCCTCCTCCTCGTCCCCCGCCTCCTCCTCCTCCTCCTCCTCCTCGTCCCCCTACTGCACCTGGCGGCGTGTCCTCCCAGGCTGAGCCTGACCGGCGCCGCCTTCGACGTCGCTTTCGACCTCGGCGACCCTCGGATCCGCAACGCCAGGCGCAAGGGCTTCGTAGTGCTCGAGGCACTGCTGCCCCGCCCCCCCCGGTGTCGAAATCCCAATTTTCTGCACGTCTCAGCGTCTGCTCGGTTTCAGTTTACCAGCCTGGAACATATCCCTATCCCTATGCTGGGCACCTCCTCATCACGATGCCAATCTTAGGGATTCCCTTATTTTTTGAGGGCGAATCCCTAAGATTGTCATCGCCTTTTGGCGTGTCAATCTTAGGGATAGGGATAGGTCCCAGGCTGGTAATCAGTCTGTTTCACGTATGGCTCTGTCCAGATCCACAGGGCATGCACTGGGCAGCTCGACACTGGAGGGTGAGGGGCGAGTGGGACGGCTTTCTGAAAAGGGCGGGGTCTTCTCAAGCTGCCCTCCCGCCATCCGAGCTGCCCTTCCAGGAAGCCTGCGGGCATCTCCAGGAAGACCCCCGGCCCTCTTTCAGGAGGGGAACAAACATACAGACACAATGAATCGTCGATGCCCAGGAAAATATGTGAACATATGAACAATGGGGGGGAAGACGACAACCCAGAAAATACAAAATATGGGGAATCCTGGGATTTGTGTGTATTTAGTTGTGTGCCCCAGGGCCCCTTCACTCCCGCCGTCCGAGCTGCCCTTCCGAGAAGCCTGCGGGCACTTCCAGGAAGCCCCCCGCCCCCTTTGAGGGCCGACCCCCTCGCCCCCACCCCTGCCTGCACGCCGCCAGATACGATGCAGGATGAGTCCCCTCCTCCGTCGTCGTCGTCGTCGACGTCGTCGACGTCGTCGACGTCGTCGTCGTCGTGATCGACGTCGTCGACGTCGTCGTCGTCGTCATCGTCGTCGTCGCAGTCGTCGCCGCCGCCCCTGTGTCGCAGCCCTCCCTCTCAAGAGGGTCAAGGAATATGGGAGGTTCGGTCCCTGGCGGTGGCGCACGGCAGGTTCGCGTCGTGTCGACCGGCGGCGACACCGCGGCCAGCGTTCAACGTTGAACGACGCCGGCGAACCAGAATCGGTCGACGTTGAACGTTCTGAAGTTTCGGAAACAGCCGATCGTTCAAGGTTGGACGATCCCTTGGGTCTCAGGGCCCAACGCCTGGGTCGTCAGGACATGAACCTGCAGTACTTAGGTGGTTCCGGTGCGCCACCCGAGGGGAGGGCGGCAGTGGACGCGCCAGGGGACGGACAGTCGAAGCCGAGGGCAACGATGGGTAATTATTTTCCCGAGGGTACGCTTGCAGCCGTGCCTCTTCGGTCCATCCTGAACGATTGTCGACGGCCAGCCCCGCTCGAAAAGTTTCGACATGGGCGTCCAAGAGGCCGCACCCTCCTCCTCCTCCTCCTCCTCCTCCTCCTCCTCCTCCTCCTCCTCCTCCTTGCCGAGCTTCGTGCTCCTCCTCCCCCTCCTCCCCCTCCCCCTCCTCCTCCTCCTCCCCCTCCCTCCCCTCCTCCCTCTCCTCCTCCGTCCTTCTCCTACTCCTCCTGCTCCTCCTCCTACTTTGGATTGTGCCAGTGCCACTCCCTCGTGCCGCCAGCCCTCCACGTGCGGCGCGCCCGTGTGTTCCCGGGCAGGCTGCCGCCAAGACGCTGAAGCAAAGACCACCGTGGGCTCGGGCGGAGCTCGGGCTGTCGGGCGGTTCCTGGGATCCGGGTCGGGGAGCCTGCTCGAAGCCCAGGCCGTGGAAAGGAGAGCCGATTCGCTCCTCACCCAGCTTTCCTCATGGGAGCACGATGGTTCTACCTGCCCTGTCCTCATACAGCCTCCTTGCCGCCCGCGCTGGGCGACGGGAGCCCAGCCAACCGCCCCATGCTGCGAATGGCGCATGGGGAATCGCACATGGCACACGACCAACATCGCTGGAACGATGCCGATGATCGTTCTGGCAGGGGCTCGACATGATGTGCGACGTTGATGATGCAGCTCTAGGGCAAGGTGCCCGTCTTCCATCTTTCTCTCCCCCTCTGGCTTACTCCCACTTCCTACTCTTTAGCTCCCTTCGTCGACAGGGTTTTCGCTCACTGTGGGCAGCAGCAGCCCATGCGAACAGTACACCTGCAGTCTGCTCGTCTTGCCACCAATGCCATTCTTGCAGTGTGAGGCCCTCGTCGCGCCCACACGCTTCGCTACGCACTCCGACCTCCATCGCGTCCGCACGCTTTTCGCTACGCACTCCGCGCAGTTCGTTTGTTCTGCCCCTCCGCCCCAAGCTCTTGGCATCGCTCGGACGTGTGCATTTTTCCTTCGGCGATGACCATCGAGGAGCATCCTCGATCATTTGGCGAAAAAAACACGCAAGAAACCTAAACAACCACAGGGAATGGACGTCCGAGCGATGGCCAGAGCTTCGCCGCATCGCTCCAGGTGAAGGGCGTGGACGTCGACGTGATCGGCAGAGAGCTTCTGGCAGAGTACGTCCTCGCGGAGAGCCTCAGGAGCCGGACGACTCTGCCGTCGCCTTTCCGCTCGGGGGCCCATGCCGCCTCCCCTTCTGTCCCCTGCCCTGGCCTCTCCCTCACTGCTGCTGCTCCTCCTCCTCCTTGTCCCCTGCCCTGGCCGCCCGCCCCCATGTTCCTCCTCCTCCTCCTCCTCCTCCTCCTCCTCCTCCTCCTCCTCCTCCTTCCTGCCGCCTCCTCCTCCTCCTCCTCCTCCTCCTCCTCCCGTCTCCTCCTCCTCCTCCTCCTCCTCCTCCTCCCTCCTCTCCTCCTCCTCCTCCTCCTCTCCTCCTCCTCTCCTCCTCCTCCTCCTCCTCCTCCTCTCCTCCTCCTCCTCCTCCTCCTCCTCCTCCTCCTCCTCTCCTCCTCCTCCTCCTCCTCCTCCTCCCTCCTCCTCCTCCTCCTCCTCCTCCTCCTCCTCCTCCGCCCGTCTCCTCCCCCTCCTCCGCTCCGCCTCTCCCGGGCCGCCCCCCCCGCCCCCTCCCCATGTGCCTCTCCGACGGTCGGGCTGGCAGGTTCTCCGACGAGAGGCGCGGCTTGACGTGCGGCCCGATGTAATCCCGCTCGCCGTGGCCTGCTGGTTGCCGTTGACTGCGGGTCCGATATGCACTCCCCACCTCCTCCCTCCCCTTTCCGCCCCTCCGCGTGGAGTACCATCCTGTCGCCTCGAGGCCCAGCTTCGGGGCTGGCACCTGGCTCGATCAGGCTCGCCGCTGCAGCTTCGGTTGGCCTTCCACTCGTGCTTGAGCCCAGCAGTGATCCTGCTTTGCAGGAGTGCACGTTGCACCTCAGCTACCCCCCAGAGACATCGGATGGAGCTTATGATGATTGTCTGCCTGTCCTCCCGCTCCCCTCCGTTTCTCCCCACGCAACCCCCAATAGCCCCAAGAGGGCATCAATAGGCCCCCTACGCTGCCTCCTCCACTTTCTCATCCCTCTCAGTCTTTATCTTCCTCTCCCCAGTGTTCCCCCAAGAGGTTCCACAACGGCTGGTGGGAACACATAGTACAATGCCTTGGCCTGACTTCGGCCCAACGTTTAACCGCATGGGCGTTTCCCAAAGGCAGGGGGCGGCGGTGATTCGCCGCAGGCGTCTTTGCTAACACCTGGGTGCAAGGACTGCTCTGGGGAAAGGATCAGGAGGGGAAGAAGCACACAGACACAATTAGTCGTCGATCCCCAGGAAAAGATAGGAAACTATGGGAAGTGGGAGGGAAGACAGGAACTAAAATAATATTGGAAAATATTGGGAATCCTTTTATTTGTGTGTATTTATTTGTGTGTCCCAGGGTCTCTTCAAAGGAGCACGCCAGAGGCCTGAAGAAAGATGGGAGAAAAGGAGGGAAGGGGCGAGGGAGGGCAGGTGAAGGATTTCGGGGGGGGGCTCTAAGGGGCATCGTCGGGGCCTCGTGCTCCTGGGACCTCTTGGGGACCTCTTGAGGGCCTCCTGGCCTTCGGTTGCCATCTTGGGCTATTCCTGGGCAGTCGTGGGTCCCTCGTTGCGCGCTTTAGGGCCGTCTTGGCGGTTTCTGGGGCCGTTTTGGGGGCGTCTTGGGGGCCTCTGTGGCTGTCTCGGGGCCCTCTTGGACAGTCTTGCGGGCCATGCCCGCCTGGGCCGTCTTGGGGCGATCTTGGGGGCCTGTGGGCCCGTCTTGGAGCGTCGGAAGCCCGAAAAGGCGAAAACGCTAAAACCATTCGAACGACCCAACTGCAATCAATGATGTTGGCCTCCTGGGTGTCCTCTTGGAGCCCTCTTGGGGCCTTTTGGAGCCTCTTAGGCCGTCTGGAGGACATCTTGGGCAATCCTGGGGCCATCTTGGGTCATCTTGGGCTTCTTGGAGGCATCTTGGAGGCCATCTTGGCCGTCTTGGAAGCGATTTGGGCAATGAGGAGTGGATGTTCCCAGGCTTTCTGGATGGCCAGCGGGCTGTGCCGAAGCCCCATGGGAAGTTCTTCAGAAAAGTCCAGTCTTCGAAAACCTCCCAGACGTCCAGCACGCCGTGCATCCCTGTGGCAAGAGCACAGGGGGCGGCGAATCGAAGACGCCTACGGCGACTCACCGCCGCCCACCGCCTTTCAGGATACGCCTACGTGCCCAAACGTTAAGGATTTGGCAACGCTATCGTTGGACCATCCGCACGTCTGGCCGGCGTGGAAGCCCTTTGGGGAGCACGTGGGGCAGCACGACAAGGACGAGGAGACAGAAGAATACAGAGGCCGAGGAGAAGGAACGGGAGGCCTCTTGGGAGCTCCTTGGGGCACTCTTGGGGCCTCCTGGGAGCTTCCTGGGGTCGTCTGGGAGGCATCTGAAGGCCTCCCAGGGCCTCTTGGGGACCTCTGGGTGTTGCTTGGGAGCCTCTTTTGCTCTTTTGCCACATTAGGGCGTTCCTGGCCTCCAAGACGCCGTCGGAAGGCGTGTTGGGGGCCTTTCTGAACCGACTTGGGGCCCTTCTGGGGTGTTTCAGGGCCGTCTCGGAGGCCATCTTGGGCGTCTTGGAGGCCTCTGGGGCCATCTTGGAGCCTTCTTGGGGCTATCTTGGAGACCTCTCGGGCGATCTTGGGGTGGAGAATTCTTGGGGGCCTCTTGGATCGCCTTGGGCCATCGTTGGCCGTCTTGGGTGTATCGTTGGCCGTTATGGGTGCATTTTGGGGCCATCGTGGGTTCTCTTGTGGCCAGTTGGGCTGCTTGGAGGAGTCGTGGATGCATCTTAGAGGCCATCTTGGGCGAGAAAGGCATCGCCATGTCCATTTTCCCCGATGGCCGTTACGCTGTGCCGAAGCCCCAGGGGAAGCTTCTAACAAAAAACAGAAACCGTCTGAAATTTAGCACGCCGGGCACCCGATGTGGCAAGACCACAGGGGGCGGCGGATCGAAGACGCCTACGGCGAATCACCGCATCCTTCTAGGATACGCCTATGTGGCCAAACGTTAGGGCAACATTTGGCCACGCTAGTGGGCCAGGCGTTCCCGCAGCCGTTGTGGAAGCCCTTCGGGGAACACGTGGGGGAGGAAGAGGATGATGAGGAGACGAAGGGAAATGGGAGCTTCCTGGGGGCTTCTTGGAGGCCTCTTGGAAGCCTCCTTGGGCCTCTTGGGGGTCTTTGGGTGCTTCTTGGGGCCTTCTTTGGCCAGAGGGACAAGAGAGTGGCCTTGGACAAGAGAGTGGCCTTGGATACGGTCAGCTCCATTAGGCAGTCTTGGGAGCCCCTTGGAGCACATTAGACAGTCTTGGCAGCTCCTTGGGCCATCTTGGGCCGGTTGGGGGCTCTCGGGGTGGCCTCGTGGGCTGTCTTGGGGGCGATCTTCGGGGCCTTTTGGGCCATCGTGGAGCGTCGAAACCTAGAACACGTGAGGCCTCCAACATCTTTCAAAAACCTAGAGACCATCGCTGAGATTGGCTTCTCGGGGCCCTCTTTGGGGGCCTCTTGGAGAACTCTTGGGGCGTCCTGGGGGTCCCTTCGGCCGCCTGTGGGCCATCTTGGGCGTCCTGGAGCGCCGTCGGGCCGTCTTCGTGGCCTCATTGCGCCCTCTTTCGGCGCTTCACGGGGCCCTCCAAGCCTTCTTGACGCCTTCTACAGTCAGCGGCTTGAATAAGGAACACTTGCTTTTCAAAAGGGGCTCGGTCGTTCCTTAGAGCTTACATGCGTTGTTTACAGTTCCTTACGCGTTATGCGTTATTTGTTATGTATCGTTCCTTATGCGTTATTCCTCGGGATAAAACAGGGGCTTCGTTCCTTATTTATCGTTCCTTAGGTCAGGCCGATGACTGTAGCCTCTGGACAAGTCGTGCGAGGAAGTCGCGGGAACTCGCGGGAGCGCGCGAGAGCGCGCGGCACCGATTTGAGATGCTTTGGTTCTTTGCCCGGTATTCAAAAGACTTGCGCCATTCCGCCGAACACCAAACGATGTGAAGAGCCCATGGAAATTGTTGGCGTTTCGCGAATCCCCACCAGCTTTCGGTCTCGCGCTTTGCTTGCTTGTCGCTGTATAATTAGGCTCGCGCGTAGCCCGCCCGACCTCTTCGGATGCCGCCTGCGCTTCCGCTTGCGACCGCGACAAAAAAAGAATCCCCACCAGCCCATCCAGAAACGTTGCCCAGAGGAATTGGATCAGGGAAGTGGGCACACAGAGGAAGCCATTATGAGACATCTTGGGATATCTTGAGCCATCTCGGAGGTCATCTTGGGCTCTCCCAGGCGCTCTTTGAGTCATCTTAATCAGTGCTCCCCCCCAGGAGGCCAACATGAGGCTAAAACCTTCGTGAAATCAGTGATTTGGCATTCTCGCCGAGGCCTCTTGGAGCATCTTGTGTGCCTCTGGGGGGTCTCTTGGGGCCGCCCGGGCCTGGCCCGCCGCGCGCTTGGGCGTCCGGGCGTCTGGGTGCATCGGGCGCCCGGGCGTCCGGGCCCCCAGTGGAGATTCCGCCCGCGCGGCGCTTCCAACGGAGTCAGGGCGGCCTTCCAGCCAGCCGGCCGAACCGTAGACGCGCGCGCGCACCTCGCGCTCAAGCGCCCAGATTGCCCAAGATGGCCTCCGAAACGGCCGCGGCCCCCCCGCGAGGGCCCAAAGTTTCGCCCCAGACGCGCGCGCAGGGGCCCTGGGCAGCCCCAGGGCCGCTTCAAAACTACCCCACCTGACCCCGTCAAAAAAATAGATTTTGCCAAGGAATCCCGATGGGCAGCGCCACGAGCGCCCCCTATGTTATTCGGCGGTTTTCGCGCCCTCGCCCGCTCCATCGCCCCAAGACGGCCAGCGAGAGTTTCCGAGCAACTCAGGATTGCCCCGAGATTCTTCCGAAACAGCACCCGACGTTTTTGACCGCCCAACGGGCCCCCCAGATGGCCCAGGCAAGCCGCCCAAGGGCTCCGGGGGGCGCCGAGGCGTTTCCAAGACTCGCCGCCCAGATGCACCCACCCAAGCAGCCTTCCAATTCGCTGGGTGGCCCGACGGCCCCACGACGCCGGACGGCTCAAAACAATCCCGGCGCGGCCCAAAAGATCGCCGAAGGTTCCGTTGAAGGCCCGCCAAAGGCCCCTCCGCAGCATTCCCCTGGCGGCGCCCACGCTGGCATGGGGGCGACCTCCAAGCCGCGGCCCCTAATCCGCGGAAGTCCCGCCCGGCCCCTTCGCACCCGCCGGAGCTCTGGAAATCTCCCGGGGCCTCGCGCCGCCTCCGACGCCGATGAAGAACCCCCCCGCCCCCCCCCCCGCGTCTCCGAGCCAGCGCGGGGCAAATCGGCGACTCAGCCGCTCTACACCACGAAGCAAGAACCACTGCTCACCCGATCGCGCGAGACCCCCCCGCCGTCGACGCAAAAACGGAGGGGGGACCGGGGGGGGGCGCGTCTGAGCAAGGAAAAATGCCCAGCCGCTTCCGGGCAAAACCAGCCCGCTTACAACGCGAGCTGGTTTTGACGCATTTTCGCCCCCCTGCCAATGGAAAATCGCTCCCGAATTCACCCAGAGGAGCCCCCGCCACGACGCCTTCCGTGCCCTTCCAAAGCCCGCCGCTTCCCGCGGAATTCATTTCCGAGCGTTCGGACGCGACCCCCACGCTCCGGCGCCCTCCGGCAACTTCCGAAAAGCCCCCAAGCCAAACCCCCCATGCACCTTCAAAGCCCTGCTAGGCTGTCGACATTGCTCCTGACCCCTGAGCAATCCTTCCCAGCCCCCCTCCGTTCTCCCAACCTCGCCATTGCTTTCCCGGGCCGCCTCCGCCTTCGAAAACCCTCCGAGCCCCTCTCGGGCCTTTGCTCATGTCCCGAAGCCTTTCAGAAACCGCCCAGGGCACTTCCGCGCCCCCGAGCCTTCCGAAAAGTGCGGCGCATCTCTCTGCGCTGCCCGCCCGCCCCCGACTTGTCCTGGGCGGGCGGCGGGGGTTGGGGCGGGCACCGCGCTGCGCATCCTTTCGCTGCGCGGCAGCCGGCAGCCCTGCGGGGCGAGCCTCGGGTGGTTTTTTTCGCCCCAGCTGCAGTTGAACAATTTTTGGCCAGGGCCGCGCAGGCGGGGAACGCTGCCCCGTGCCCCCATCGCAGGCCGTAGCAAAAGCGTTGCCGTAGGGCGGCGCGCGCAGGCGGGCCAAGCTCGCAGTATTCGGCAGTTGGCGGCTGGGCCCCCAGCCATGTCCTGCCGCTTGGCTAGCGCATTTCTTCCGTTGTTCTTGAAGACGCATGCGCACAGGGCCGACCCGGCAGCGTTCTGGGCCGACGCCGCGACATTGATTTCGGCGCGCCCAACCCGAACCATACTTGTACTTAACCTTGAATTCCCAGTCAGAGCTAAATCAGACTTGGGTCTTAGGGCAAACCCTAAAGCAGAGTTCCAATCAGACCTAAATCGGGCCTGGGTCTTAGGGCAGAAGTTCAATCAGAGTTCCAGTCAGACCTAAATCAGAGTTGGCGCTGAGGGCCAGACGTGAATCAGAGTTCCAGCGCTGACATGAATCAGACCTTCAGCGGAGTTTTCGGGCCTCGGCAGAGGAACAGAGTTTGCCCCCAACGGACACGTCATCCATGTCAAGTAGACGCAGTGCGCGCACCTTCGGCTATATCAAAAAGTTTGTGTTCAACCGTCCCTTGCAAGAGAATGCACACTCGCGCGCGCATGGCTAAACCAGGCCGAACACGTGGGTGTTGCAAGCACCCCATGATGGATAATGCATCGCAACATGCTGTTCAATAGCCATGTTCCAAGTATTTTGCCCGCTCGCACGTGTTGAAACGAAACACTTCAAGATCAAGCTCTTCAGCGCACATATGGTAACACCATGCATTTCCAACAACAAATCTGCTAAATGATTTCAATTTCTGCGCGCGGACGTCCTCATCACCCGCACCAGCGCCATCGCATCACCGCTGGTTTCATCATCGTCAATCGCCGCCATTGCCGCCACCATCAGCACAATCACTTTGATATTCGACACATGTAGACATCACCATCATCACCGTCATATTCATCGTAGTCATATTCGGCATTAGCTTCATCGTCATCATTACTATTCACATGGTTGTCATCATCAGACTCATTATCATCAGCATCCTAAGCATTATCATCATCATCCTCATCGTCGTCGTAATCGTCGTCACTTGCATCGGCACCGTCATTGGCCTGACCGCCGTCATCGTTTTCCTCGGCGTCATCGCCACCACCATCGGTATTATCGTCATAGGTACCGCCATTGCTGACGTCATCGTCATGTCGCGCTCGCCGGCTTCACTCATCCGCACTGAAGTGCCCCAGCTCCGTCTAAGACGCGCTGGGGAGCTCCCACCTGTCAGCGCATCAACTCTGCCAAACCATTGGGACGCACGCTCTGCGCTCGAGCGTGCGCCGCGCCAGCGCGGCCGTAGAGATGCGCTAGCAAGTGCCTGTCAGTAACTTCGATCGTTGTCGACTGGATGTCGCCAAACAAGTTGCGGTTGGGAGGATGGGATGTTCGCGCGAGCAGTGGAGTTGCCAATTCATTCTTTGCAAATGTAAGTGCGCCACGTAGATTGCATCACATAGCTTCCACCATATAACTTCCACCACGTAGCTTGCAACACGTAGCTTATACATCCAGAATGCAAGAACCTCATTGTTGGTGTCCACGCTGGCAATGTGTGTCAGTCCGGGCCGCTCGGCCGCGTCCCCAGGCCCGGCCACGGCCCTGGGGCCGGCAAAACCATGGAAAAAAAGTGTTCGGCGCATCTTTCGTCACGCGGGTTGTGTGGGTCCTGCCCCATCCCCATCACAGGCAGGGTCGGACAGCCTGAAGACGGAGAGACGAGAGAAAGTCAGAGAGAACCGACAAACAATATAAATCTAGACCGAGAGAGACAGAGAGAGAGAGAGAGGAGAGAGAGAGAGAGAGAAAAAAAACAAAAAGAGAGAGAGAGAGAGAGAGAGCGAGAGAGAGAGACAGGTGACAGAAAAAGAGAGAGCGAGAGGGAGAGAGATCAAACAAAGAGAACGGAGAGCGGCCCCCAGTGTCGCCCGCGAGCACTGCAAGTACGGGGAGAGGTGCAACAACTTCGACGCCGTGCACCGGGAGCAGTTCCTGCACCCCGACGAGGGTCATCATGGGGCAACGTCTGGGAGGGATGGGTTCGGGGGGCAGGAGGAGGGGGAAAGGCTTCTTAGAAACGCCCCTGCTTCTTAGAAGGCGCGGGCCTTACAGTCGGGCCGCTGAAGAAACAACCCTTTTCGTTTGGGAGGGGTTCCGTGTTCCTTAATTGTTTTACACTGTGCCTTGGGTTTTCGTCCGGTTGTCCATGTAAAATCGATGTTTAATTTATGGGAGAAAGGGGCCTCGTTCTTTATTGCGAAGGCCTTACGGCCAGTGCCGCCGACCCTGAGAACGACTCAGATGAAAACGAGGGGGGGCAGGGGGAGGAGGATGAGTGGGAGGTGAAAATACGGTGGGGGAGGTGGATGAGGGAGGAGGAGAGCGGAGAAGGACGTGGAGGATAAGCAAGAGGAGGAGAAGGAGGCATAGGAGAGCAGGAGGAGGGGGAGCAGAGCGGGGAGGAGGAGGAGGAGGAGGAGGAGGAGGAGGAGGAGGAGGAAGAGGAGGAGGAGCAGGAGCAGGAGGAGGAGGAGGAGGCGGAGGAGGAGGAGGAAGAGGAGGAGGCGGAGAAGGAGGAGGAGGAGGAGGAAGAGGAGGAGGCCAGAGGCTTTCTTGGGACAGCCTGGGGCTCTCGTGAAGCCGTCTTGGTCCGTCCAGGGCTCCTCTTGCGCCGTCTCGAGGCACTCTTGGAGGCTTTCAAACTGTCAAGGCGTCTTGGACAGTTCTTTCGGCGATTCGGGGTTCTCTTGGACTGTCTTTGGGGCCATTTCGGGCACTCCTGTCCTGTCTTGGGTTTCTTTTGGGCTCCGGGTTTCCCCTGGGCGTCTGACCCCTCCCCGGCGGGGAAGGGATTTCAGAGAAGGCGCTTGCCTTCGACTCAATTACGACGTTGCTCAACTTCGCTGTGGTTGGCGCGCTGAGGAGGTTCCTGGAAAAGGGGGGAGCTTCGACGAGCCCAGGGAAAGGAGGAGGCAGGGAAAGTGGACGACAGTGACGACGACCAACGAATGACGGAGATGACGACTTGAACGGACAAGCCCCTCACACACGCCGACAGGGTCGGCGGATTTAGGAAAAAAGGGCCTCGCTCCTTATTGAGGGTTCCTTAGGTCAACGCCCCGACTGTATCCGTAGATGTGAGGTCGGCGCCTTCTAAGAAGCAGCCTCCTTCGAGGAGGCCTTCCTCCCTCCTCCTGCCCCCTTTGTGCGCGCCGCCAACCCCGGCTGTGCACTCGCCGCCGAGAGGGGCCCGACAGCCCGCCCCGCTCAGGACACTGCGGATATGTTTCAGGAGGGAAAGAAACACACAGACACAATTAATCGTCGACTCCCAGGAAAATATGCCAAGATATGGGAAGTGGGGGGGAAGACAAAAAACCCAAAAATATGGAAATATGGGGGATCGTTTTATTTGTGTGTATTTGTTTGTGTGTCCTGGGGCCCCTTCATTGTTTTCCGTCATGGAGTCAAGAACCACACCGGCCCCAAACAATTGGCGTTCACAGAGCAGCCTTGGACGTTCGCGGAACGGTCCTGCCCTGTTCGTTCCCTCCTTCGGTGCGTTTGCCGCCTGGCTTCGCTCGGAGGGGTGCCTCTTGTGAGGGTGTTTTTTTCCTTTAGCCTTTTAGCCGGGGGCATATCGCCGATCTGGCCAAGTACGTACCGCCGACTCCAGTTCTCAAACAGTGGCGAAGCGTCTATGCTCGCACATAGACCTACCAGACAATGTTCTAAGAACCTTTTGCGGTTTCCACGACATGTTCCTAGAACATTGCTGGCGGAGTCTGTCCTGTTTTATCACGCCGGCTTTATTTTCTAAGAACGTTGTTTTCGTTATTCGAACATTGTTGGGTTCTAAGCACATTTCGTGGTAGGACTGCAGGAATGCCGGGACGGCCGGCCCCTGCTCAAAAGTATGCACCGCCGATTCCAGTTCGAACTTCCCCGCCTCCATGAGCCAGTCCCCCCCCCCCGACGCTGCCCCCCAGGCAAGCCGCAGGTCCTCCGCGAGGCCTCCTCGCGCGACGAGCCGGCGACCGAGCTGCTGTCGGCGGTGCAGGCGCGCGGCGCCCGGGGGCCAGGGACGTTGCCCTTCGCGCGCATCGTGCCCAAGGGCAAGGTGTCCGGCCACGTCGCGGGCGGGAGTCAAGCAGTGGCGAAGCGTCCTGGCGTGCCTCTAGTCTTATCAAGCAATGTTCTAAGAACCTTTTGTGGTTCCCACGAACTTTTCTTAGAACATATCTGGTTGGGACTGCCTCGTTTTATCACATCGGGTGTATGTTCTAAGAACACTGTTTTTGCTCTTGGAACATTGTTGGGTTCTAAGAACACTTCGTGGTAGGACTATATGAATGCTGGGACGGTCGGTCCCTGCTCAAGGGAAACAGCATCCCCAGAGCTCCAGGGCCTTGTCCACGGACGACTTGTGTACACTGTACCGCGTTGGCGTCTCCCGAGGGGTCGTCCATCCCCGCTCCATGAGTTGCACGGTGAATAGTCTTCACGGCCGAAAGCCGATGTGCCGCACCGCGTTGGAGCGGAGCCCGAGGGGAGTCTAAACATGGTAAGATGCATGGGTGCCGCCCTCGCAGTCTTGAGAGCCTCAATGCGGAAATGGTTTGCTGTTTTCCACTTCGGTTCACGCCAGCACTCAGTGTTGACTTTCCCAAAAAAGTGCACTGGAGCTGTTCCCAAACAACCGCGTTTGAATAATACGAGAAGCACTACCTGGGTGGAGAGACCGGTAAGGGGGCCATTCTGCGGCGATGGAAGTGCGTGTGGTTCGTCCGGGGGCAAGAGGAAGTTCATTGAATTCACCCCCTCTCAGACGGTGCCCCAAATAGTGCGTCCGACGCGTCCAAAATGGTGCCCCAATCTCTCCATCCCTGTGAAAACACAGGGTCCCAGCGCAGTGGGGGCGCCCGACCCAAGGGCAGAGGCGCGTCCGCTGCGCGCCGCCCGGTTGAGCGCTATTTTGCCCACATTGTGGGGCACTATTTGGAGCATTTCGCGGTCCAGTGCGCTCAAGATAGCGCCTCGAAGAACGCCAAGATTGCGCACGTCCCTTCGCGCGCGTTGGCTCTGCGCCATCGCAATTCCCCACACAAATCTATCAAACATTCGTCACGAGCGCAGGACCCCTGCTGGCAGTGGGCGGTGTGACGGTTTCGGCTTCATGCGGCCTTGGGCGGGCCCTGGGACGAGCAAGAAACGACTCAGGACGAGGAGCCAGCCTGGTGAAAAGGTTTTGTCCTCTGCGTATTGAGACATTCAAGATCGGATGCTCGCGCGGATTTCTTGGATCGACGCTGGAGCCCTCCTGGCGGCGCCGCGCCAGGGAGGAGGCCCAGCGCCGATCGAAGAAATCTGCGCGGAGCATCCGACCCTTCCAGCTGGGGTCCAGGTAAGTGGGGTCCGCCCGATTTTCTCTGCGCATCGCCGATGTCGCCGATGCATCGGCGATGCAACGGCGACGTCGGCTTGGTTTTTCGAATCCATCTCGGACGCCAATCGGGAGTCTACGGCGAGAAAACATCCTCAAGGGCTTGACGACTTTCGCCGATCGACTTGCAGGGATCTCGCTTGATAGATCGAGGTAAGTCCAGGTAGATGGGGGAAGCCTGGATAAGTCGAGGTAGACCCAGAGGCACCCATATAAATTTGGAGAGTTCGTGGAAGCTCCAGCGCGAGTCGAGGGACAGCAGCAGTTGTGAAGCCCTTAACCAAAACATGTCCACGTGTTCGGGAACACTCTCAGAGCGTTCCAGAAAGCTCTGAGAAGACCGCGGCGCCCGATACATCCTCCACAGCCGGCGGATCTCAGAGGTGTTCGATATATCCTCACCCGAACTCGCCTTCGTCCTGGCTCCGTCTTATAATTCATCTGGCGGTGCAGCGTTCGAAGAACAGCACAATGCAAAGCTGCATCAACTTTTTGCGTCGGCGGCTAGGCAGGGGTCGCCTGCGCTGGCGGAGTGAGCCAAACTACGCGGGGGCGCCGTTGTAGCGAATTGGCCAGCATGCAAGAGCGGGAAGATATCGGACAGGACGGGCGGCCGGCAGAGGGGGGGATGCCAGGCGAGTGCACACCATGCACAAGCATATACTACAAGAAAATGCTCCCAGATGACCCACAGTAGTAGAAAAATCGTCCACTTCCTACTTTTCTACTATTTTTGAAATTTTTGGGAGGTCCGCGCTGATGTCTCCCGGGTCGGCGCCGGGCCCCCGCTGGCGCCCCCGACGCCGCCCCCGGGCGCGCTGCGCGCTCCAGGAGCCGGGAGCCTCGAGACGGGGGTCAGTGCAGACGGGGGTCAGCCGGAGCGCCTGGTCTTGCAGGATCCTGCAGGGCCGGGGTCGCACTGACCCGGGCTCGGGCGCAGGATCCTGCAGGATCCTGCAGGGCCCTCCGCGTTTTGCACCCGGGCTTGGGCGCAGGATCTTGCAGGCGCCTGCAGGACCCTGCAAGGCCCGACCGACCCGGGTCTGGATTGACCCCGGTCTGGAGATCCCCGAAGGAGAGAGGGGGGGGGGTCCAGCGCCGGCCCAGGATTTTTTCTCGTGGGCCTCCGAACGCAGTCGGGGCGCCGAAGAGGGAGCCCCTTCTCGCTGGGGAGGGGCCCCGTGTGCCTCGATGGTGTCGCAGTTTGCCCCAGGTCTTCCTTGGGTCTTCGATGGGAAGTCGAGGTTCAGCTCGCGGACAAGAGGCGCCTCGTTCCTCATGTAGGGTTCCTTGGGTCAACGCGCCGACTGTATTTGGCGACGCGCGCAGGGGGTAGGGGGAGGGGGGAAGGCTTCTCAGGAGGAGGCCGCTTCTCAGGAGGGGCCGGCCTTGCATCTACACATCAGGCCCGCGCCTTCTAAGGAGCAGGGATGCTTCCAAGAAGCCTTGCCCCCTCCCCTAATATACCCCCTCAGCGCGTGGCCGACGCATGCAGGTACTTTCTCTTCTGAGGTCCGAGGGTGAAGAACTATGCCAACCCCCATAATCGGCGTTGGTTCCCAGGGTGCTCGCCATTGCCTTCTTACAGTGTCGCCATGACGGAAACGGGTCCTCTGATGGAAACCTGTCCTAGAGCCCAGGGTTTCTCGCAGGACGAATGCTTCACCCTGGGTCAGACTCTGAGGGCCCCGAGGCCCACGGATGATCCACGGGACTCGGAATTTGCGAAACGGTTCCGGGGCTCCGTTCCTCCAGAACCCGCATGCCAAACGAAGGTGGCCCGCTGGGACGACGCGGAGAACACCGGGGCGCTCCCGACGGCGCTCATGGGCGAAGGGCAGACTGCCGATACCGCTGGGCCGAGAGAATCGCTCCTGGCGCCCACCCGAGGCCGACCCCGACCCGCCAGCGGTGTTGCCCTGCGCGCGGAACTCAAAGTCGGGCACCTCGTTCAGATCATCACCGCGGGGGGGTCGGGGTCGGCCTCCCCTTGAGTCGGTTCCCTCGTTACCAGCCTGAAACATGTCCCGACCCTCATGGATGGCATTTCCCTCCCAATCTCGGTTCCGATCTGAAGGATTCCCTCGGTTCCTGAAGGCGCATCCCTGAGATTGTCATCGCTTGAGGCGTGTCGATCTCAGGGATCGTGACAAGTTCGAGGCTGGCTACCTTTGCCCAGCAGTTGTGGTTGTCTGCGCCTCGCTCCCGAGGTGCTCGCGATCTCCGGCGAGGAGCAGCTGCACGTGTCGGCCTTCTTCAGGAGTTGGCGCGCGGAGGCTGCCGGCTGGCAGGTGGCGGTGCCCCTGCGACCCAAGATGGGCACGCCCTACCTGTTCGACCCGGCGGGAGTGGAGCTGGTTGTCGGGTTCATGCGGGAGCTGCTCGCGGACAGGGACCCCCCATGGGAAAGATTCGGATGCACGAGTTGGTGGCTAGTGCGATGGTGGCCGCTGTCTGTCTGACTGTCTGTCTGCGCAGCGACCAGCTACTCAGCAGGCCTCACCGCCACTTCGTAATCTACCTGGTGGTTGGCCGCTTTTACAGACAGTCCACGCAGGAACCCCGCCCCGCTCACCACCATTTGGGATTACAGAATGGTGGTTGGGAGTTTCGGAATCACATGTTGATGTTTCGAACTGTTTTGGCACTCCGGCTCAACCACCAACACTATAGCCACCAGTAAGGAAGCTTATATATAGAGAGGGAGAGAGAGAGAGAGAGAACCTCGAACAGGCGGCATACTCATGAGTTTTCGGAGGTCCGCGTGGATCTCGTGGGTCGGCGTTGTGCCCCCCCCTGGCGGCCCCTCCAGCGACCCACCTGGCGCGCTCCGCGCGCCAGGCTGAGGCTTCCAGCGCCGGCCCAAGAAATCTGCGCGGACCTCCAGAAGCGCACTGTTGTTCTCCGGACAGTGCTTGCTTCGTGGCCCGTACCCGCGTGGCCTAAGGCACTGGATGCGTGTAGCAGGGTTTCTCCTTGTGTAGGGGGCCACACGCGAACCCTACCCCTACCCCCCACGATTTCTTGGGGGGAGGGTTGGGTTCACTTCGTCCGGGAGCTCCCAGACGAAGTGAACCCCACCCTCCCCCCCAGAAATCGTGAGGGGTAGGGGTAGGGTTCGCGTGTGGCCCCCTAGTGTGGGCGGCGGGCGTCCTGTGCGCCGGATCGCTGTGCCGAGGCTTCGCCTGCTGGGTGGCCGCGGGCTCCCGTGTGGGCGGTGCGGCGTGCCGAGGTCTCGCCCGGTGGGCGGCCGTGGGCGCCGCGTCCGCGCACCGGTGCGCCGGTTTTTCGCCTGGTGGGCGGCCGTTGGCTCGTGGGGGGCGCCTCTGCTGTGCTTGCTCTGCGCTGCTCGCATTGCATAGCCCGCACCGCGGTGCTTGCCCCCCAGAGCTCACACACCGCGCAGCCTCCGCCGCGTAGCTTTTCCACGCGTCGCACCGCATGGCCTGCACCGCACTCTGCTTGCACTGCACTGACACCACCTTGCGTTGCACCAAGCAGGGATTGCACTAGGCTGCTTGCCTCGCGCATAGCTTGCACCACAGAGCGTGCACCACATAGGTTGCACACCCAGAGTGCTGGAGCTCACTGATTGGGATCCGCGCCGGCAAACATGCACGTTCGTCGCATTTTTTCCCGAGAGGAGAAGGCATGTCTACGCCGATGCCCTTCCCTCGTGTCTGCCGTTTCAGGCCTCCTGGACGGAAGGGGGGGGGCTCGTCGCCACGGCCGGCTTCGCCTCGGGATCCTGGTCAGAACTCTCCCTTTGGAGGGGTCGCGGGAGTTGCCGCATCGGTGTTCAGACCTGCGATGTCTTGATGTGTTCAAAACGCGGCCCCGGAAGGCCCGACCCCGTTCCCCCAGGGCCGGGTGGTTCATCCCGAGTCGTTTCCCAACGGCCCCGAGGCCAGGCGAAGGCCCCCAGAGGCCGAACATTGCGAAGAGCTCTCCGCCGCGATGCCTTCGACGGCGCAGGCAGCTGTTTCATGGCGCCCGGCTCCTATTTTCCCCCGTTGCCCCCGAGTCTGTGGTTATTGCAGGTGCTTGATCTCGTCGCCCCGCGGTTGACTTCAACCGGCGGTGCTTCGGCCACGTGCGCAGGACAGCCTGTTGAGCAGGCTTGCTAACCGCAGGAGGCTTTAGTTATTGCCCTCCCTCTGTTTTTCTCGGCGCGGAATGAACTCGCTCCTCCTTCTCCTGCTGTTCCTCCTCCTCCTCCTCCTTCTTCTTCTCCCATCCCTGAGGGGCGGTCCCCCGCGGAGTCCTCTCCTTGCAGCACCTTGTACACGACGCTCTTGTGCGGGCCCACCGCCAGGCGCCCACGATGGACATGGCCGCGACCGCGTCCTCGGCAGCGCGCAAGCGCCGGTGGGCCGCAGCCTGGCCGCAGCCTGCCAGCCAGGCACCCTCACGGGCCTCCCTCGCGGTGCGGAGGCGCACCGCAGGAGAGGAGGGTGCCCTCGACCAGGTCCCAAGCAGCCTCCTCCTCCGAAGGCACCTCTGGGTAGCGCTCGGGGGGCACGAGCATGGCGAGGAGAAATGGATCCGTCGGCCACACCATAGGCCCCACTCCTCGCAACGCTGGCTGCGCCTCCAGAAAAGCCTCGCCCAGCAACTCGAGGAAGGGCCTAGGTAGAACCCAGTCGTCCACCTCAAGCGCAGCTGCGGGCCTCGCCACCAGGCCATGGAGGCGCATGGCCTCCGACAGGTGCGGGCAGTGCACGGCCAAGGCCTGGCCGAAGTATGACAGCACGCCCCCGAAGTCGGCCACGTCGAAGGACACCGTTGAGGATTCTGGTAGGGCTGCGAGTGCCTTCACCGTCTCGAGCTGCCAGATCGACGGCACACGGTGAGCCACGGAAACCTGGTGCACCAGAACTCCAGCTACTCCTGCCGCCGCTGCAGCAGCCAAGAATAATAAACCAGCTCTGATGGCACTGTTCTCTTTCCGCAGCTGTTTCACCCAAAACATGTTCAGGAGGTCTGCTCCCCACAGTTGCTCCCGAGGTCTCACAGGCGAGCCCTGCGAGCCAATACTATTCAAAGTCGCAACCCAAGATGATGTCGGCGGTGTCACAAGAACTCCCAGAATAGCCCCTGACTGAATCCTTGCAGTAATATTGTCTAAAAACGTCGAATCCTCCAGCTTCAATGTCATTGATGGTTCACTGCAATCCAAGTAAAGAACAGCACAGTTGAGAAAACCAGTGGCACAGCCCATAATACTGCTGAAGTCGCCGTCAGCTCTAGGTCCCCATCCAATGTGCAACAAGTAGGCTTGCCGATGGGTGCGCTCCGCAGGTGCTGGTGGCAGCGATGGTGCTGGGACCCACTCCACACACGGGGGCATCGGGCGCTCGTCAACCACAGCAGCTTGCCTCTTGCCAGGTAGTGCTGGACGTGTTGGCGCAGTCGCCCGAAGCCCACGCCTGCGTTTGTCCTCAGCCGACTGCTGGTCCAGGAGCTGCCATGCCGCAACCGCCTCGCCGTCCAAAGGAACAGTGGATGCCATAATGTGGCCCAGACATGCTCCAGTCGGGCGCTTGAGATGCCTTAGCAAACGTGAGCGATCCGAGAAGTTGGCACCACAGCACAGGCAATCAACCCCGTCAGCAAAATACTGCGCCATGTCGGTTGGCTGGTGCACACGAGTCCAGTGACCTCGATAACCAGCAACAGTTTGGAAAACCTGATCGCATTCATAACAGAAATAGCTTGTACCTGAATGTCCATCACCAGCACTTGGGACTAGCCCAGGATATACCAACAAAATCTTACGCAGTATGAAGGAGTCCCTGTGCTGATCCATTCGCTGCGCAGAGAAGCTTGTCCAAGCACTGCGCAAGTGTCTATGGAATCCTCTCAGATCTTTGGCAACATATCTCATCCATGCGGCGATGCCTGGAATGTTCCTGGGGCAGTCGTCTGGAGCATCATGACAAAACCTTTTGAGCCACAGAAAATCCTCCAGTACAAGAGATGCCCATGACGATGAGGTACCCAGCGTTGCATCCAGGATTAACCGCAGTGTTGGGGATCCTGAGTGCACCAGCCGAGCTACGTAGCGTAGTCGTCGGAAGCGTAGAATATCACCAAACTCCATCCTGTTGGCGATAGCTAATACTTCCGAGTCTGTCGTACGCCCGACTGTGAGCAGGCTGTGCAATTTCTTGGTGCCCACTCGGTACCCTGATAGCAATGCATGGTTCAACTTGGTCGTGCACGATGCAGAAATATTGTCCCATGTCTCCGCCTGAAAGAACAAGTGCGTGCTGCACAACGCGTCGATGTACTTGAGCTTGTCCTTTGTGTCAATCTCGTACTTGATGACCGATGCCCTAAGCGGCCTCAGTGCCATAGAATGCTTGTTCTTCCTTCTAGCAACCTCCTGCGCTGTGCTCCCATCGCCAGTGTAGATGCCACCGACATGCTTGTAAGCCTGCTCGAGGACAATACGATCGTTCGATGTGCTATCTAGCGCAATGGCTGAGAACCTGGCCATGGTCCTCTTCGCATGCAGGGAACCCTCGCCATTATAGGAGATAACCGCAGCCGTCTTGCCCTTCCCGAAGTGAAGTTGAAAACCAGATCCCAACATATGCTTCCTCACGATCCTGCCGAGCAACGAGACTTGATCCCGCACTGCTGTGGGGTCGTAACATGGGGAGCAAAAACCAGAATCATCAACGAAGGTGGAGTCCGTAAACGTGTCGTTCTCCACTGTGAGGCCTTGGGAAAATACCTGCTCGGATACATCAATACAGTCCTTGAGGTCCATGGCAATACCAGCCTGTTGCATATCCAATTTGATTCCTCTCAGTGGTCGGGCATACACGACATTGAAGAAGAAGTCGGCTAGTGGGTTGCCAGCCCGGGAACTCCTTTGCGAGACAATCCATTGCGTATCCCCTGGCATTCTGAAGTGGGTGAGCCGATGGGCCTCAATCACTTGCGCCACCAGGTGTTGGTCAACTCTGGTGTCGACCAACACTGGCGCCGCTAGAACAGCTTCCAGCAGCGGGTGCGCCAGCGCAGGTGCATTATCAAGAACTTGATCGATGTAGTTCTCGGTTCCTTTGAGCGGGATCCCAGCCTGACGCAACAACGAGTAAAAGGCGGCCACCAAATCCACGAACAGTACTATCGCAATAAACTTCCTGGCCTTGGCAATGTGTCTGAAGACTCTTACCATCTGAGAAGCCATACCTGCACGGCGGCCCTTGATACCACCAGTCTGCGAGTCCACCATGAGTATCTTGATGCAGTCCGACATGGCTGCTCGAAGAAATGCGTGGTGGTGCCTGATCACATCAGAGTTCAGCATGATCGAGCGGTACATCTCAGCCGTCATCTTGCCGCTCTTGCCCTTGTGGAGCCCACAAGCCAGTCCTGCTTTGTGCATGGCCGCCTCCTGCACCAGAGGCCCAGTCTTGGCTGTGATCGCCAGAACATGCGGCAAAACAGCCTCAGGCGCAGCTTTGAGGACAGCGTTCTGCACTAGATCATGGCCAGGTGCGCGGTGGGCTTTGACCCCACGTAATCTGGTAGCAAGCCATGACGGAGACGGAATCATTGAGATAGACCTTGGGAAACCAAGAGCATGATCCAAAGTCAGCTGATTGCAATCTGCTTGCAGCGCCGTTGCAGTACACTCGTATCCGTCTTCAAGTTGAGCAAAGTGTCGCCTCAGGGCCTCAGCCCACTCCAGCTCGGAGGCGATAGCAGAGCCGTCTTGCTTGAATCTCTGGGGCAGGAGATTGTGGTCGCATCTCTTGGCCTGCTTGCCATTAAATCGCAGCAACCTCTGGAGCCAAACCCATTCATGGTGTCCGTCGTGTAATATTGCCAGTTCGCCAATCTTCTTGGCGGTCTGAGTAAGAAAATCTTTTCTGTTTCTGTTCAGGCACCATGTAAGCGTTCGCGCAGTAGTATCCATGAACCAACAGGCAGCAGCGAGCATTTCTTCAATTGTGAACTCCTCGGCCTGAAATAAGTCACATGCCATGGCAAGCTGGCGCATAGGGCCTTCCCAGGGACACTGGGAGGAACGAACAGGGCCCCGACTTGCGTATACGAATGCGTCCAATTGCCTTGGTAAGAGCCTGGCCAATAGAAAGATAGGTTCCCAGGAATGTCTGAGAACCGCCTGCTGTGCACGCCTTACGTACCTGCGTAGTCTGATGAGGGCCATAGTGCCTGTCTTGATGTAGGGCTTCCTAGGAGAAAAGCGGCCCTCGGCAAACAACTCATCTGTGAGCTGGTTGATCTTGGCATTGAAGTCATCAACCTGCTGATTGATGTCCGTGGTCCACGGCGCCACTGGCATCACCAGGAGAGCTTGTCGGAATTTGTTTTGCCTGATAGGATCCGCTAGCTTCTGCCTGTCGAGCCTCTTTCTCCCTGCTTCAGGTGTCGAGTAATATTTTGCAGCCTCAATAGTGACAACAACTGGCCAGTGATCAGGGGATTTGCCACCAAAATCCAAGTCGGTCATAACGTAGCAGGTCTTCGCACAATCATGGATGCTGTCCTGCAGTACGATGTAGTCCAGTCTATGCAGTGTGCCGCACTTCGCTCGGAAAGTTTCAGGATGTTCGTGAGGGATAAGCGTGTTCGTGATCTTCATGCTGTACTGATTTGAAATCTTCTGGAGCTCACATCCGTTGAAATCTAATGAATCATTTGGCCCGACGCTTCCTGACACCTCTGTGACCTCACTGCCCATGCGAGCGTTCGCATCTGCCATGATAATAGTCGGTGGGTGCTGGTCCAGGATAGCTCGTACGTCTTGCCACCATTTGCGAACATGCTGAGGAGGGTCCATGGTTCCACGTTTGTGATGTGGAGCATGGATAACTGCAACTGTGTGTACCATCATGGGAGCATGTATCCGAATAAGAAGAAACCTTTCCACAGCATGTATAACATGGACGTGCTTGGTCGCCAACTTGAGTGGACCCTTCTTCCCTCGTGCATACCCAAGTTCAAGATTAACCAATAGTGTACAGCCAAGCCCTTTGGAGTCCGAGCCTGAATTTACAACGAGGAAGCCATCAGACTCGAACTTACCAGCAGGATGAGATGTCCCCTGGATGCCTGCCAGTAGCACAGAATCATCTTTGAGTTGTAGCCGAAGATGTCTTGTGCGGGCTCTTCGTTCCTCGTGTCGGGCAAAGTTATGAACGGACTTGTCGGACTTGTCTGGACATTCACTATCATCACCAGAGCAAATCGTAACATAGTTGAAAGTCGCAATCTTGTACTTAATACAAGTGGGTGCACGCATGACTGCCAATTCGCCTTCAACCTGATCCTCCTTCTGCAGTAACTTCCGCTTGTGCACCTCAAAGTGAAAACCATCTTCCAAGAAGCACGGATATGGTGATGTCCTCGAATCTAAAAACCTTGTAAATTGCCATTCAGCATCTACCGTATACTTCAGTGCTTGACGTCGAACCTGCGGTAGGTCTGGTGGCACATTGGATTCTTTGGTAAAATGCCTGGATATCGAGTCGACAGCTTCATTCCATGGGTAGTCCTTGTGACCTGGCTCCTGCACCACCGACAACGGTCGTACACGCTGCACGTCGCTGAGAACAGTGGCAGCCATCTTGTCCAAATCGGAAACCAAGCGCACACGACTCAAAGCTTTGTCGACCGCCGCCATATTGTCGCAGATGATGTACACCTGCTCATCCATGGGCAACTGAAGAGAGAAGATCGCCGCCCAGACAACGCCTAAAAGTTCAACCTCGGTGCTGTGGGTCTGCTCAGCCATGCTGTCGAAGGAGTGAGATGTCACCGCTCGTGCCGCCACATAGCCCTGGCACGCAAACCCCGTGGAGTCCTGCATGACGTGGGCCAGCGCGAACGCCGCCAGCTCGGGAGACTTGGAGTACAAAGATGCGTCTGTATAGACGTGATGTGTGGCCTGGTCCGTACTTGGACGGGGAGGGTGCATGCGCAAGGCCAAGTCAGCAAACGGATGTAGTAGCATACCACGGTAGTCCCAAGAGAGCTGCAACCGCCACTGTATCTGATCAAACAACTCTGGTAAAGTTGGAACATGCTTAACTTGACAATTTGATGCCGTAGCTGGCTGCGACGCTGTACGATCAACTTGCACGTTGGGGCTGTCGATCTCTAAGCCAGCATGGTGTTGTGGGATCACAGCACCAACCCTCGCCAAATCGCCTGTCTGAAATAAATTCAATGAATTCTCACTGTGGCCGAACATGCAGTTGTAGATGTCGACCGTGGACGCCCCTCTCGCTCCGCCCGATGGCGCTGGAGAAGGGAAATGCGACGAAGACGGGCACTCCAAAGCCTCTTGGCAGTGCCTTTGAGAGCCTGACGGTCGATACCCTCTGGCGCACATGCGCTGACTCGTTGGAGGCGCTGGGCAGTGCGTGCCGAAGGCCGCGGCCGACGGTCGGTACCCCCTGGCGCCCCTTTGAGCAGCTTGGTGCGCTGAGCAGTGCGTGCCGCCAGGCTCATGTGTAAATTCGAAGCTACGCGTGCCTGATGGTCTAGAGCGGTCAATACACACACCTTCACCCGCTGCTACATGAAGATGTGGGCTGCTTGAATTCTCACCGACGGAGTCCCCAATCTCGTCGATGTAGGTGTGCAACACCAGCGCTGGGGCAAAGTGCACAGCGCGCTGATGCCGCACCTCTGGAGATCCAGCTGATGCTAGCCTCCACCGTGTGCCACGCCTGGGATGTGAAAACCTGCCTCACGACGTACCTCCTCTGAGTTACTGGGGTCGTCAGGCTTGCCACGTCGTAGGCGTTCGGCACGTCCTCCATCTGACCGGCTGCGTGTGGAAGAGCCCTTGCGCTCCTCAGTCTTGGCATCCTGCGCGGTAAGGTCGAACTGCTGTGGTGCAACATGGGGGCCACAGGGCTGTGATGTACCAGGGATGCCACATGATGAGGATGAGTACCAATGAGAAGGAGAAGCCACTTGTTGCACACCTGGGGGCGGCGGTGGAGGGGGAGGAACACCCTCCATCTTGGCAGCCGCTTCCTCGTTGATATTGCGTTGTTCATCTTCAAACTGTGCTGCTGCCCTCGCTTGCTGATCAACTTGGTACTGGTTGTACAGCTTCGCCTCCTGACTGGAATCGCACCCCGCATGGTAACCATCACTTAGTAGTCCCTCTGCTTCTTCCTCGATACGCCTCTGCTCCTCCTCTGCTTGGGCCTGATCAAAATCTAGCTGGTCTCTGCGACGTTGCTCCTCTTGCATCTTGGCATAGTACTCACCAGCGTCGAACGTGTCGGTGGCAGAGGTCTCTGATACTGGACATTGCTGAGCTGCAGCTGCTGCAACCTCCTTTGGCATCTGTGATTGAGACGGAATTGACATAGGAGGCCTAGGTGCGGATGTAGCCACAGGGGTCGGCATCTGTGACTGCGAGGGGATCGTCTGTGGTTGTGGCTGATGAGCTGGGGCACCACCTTGATGTGTGCTCGGTGATGCTTGAGTCTGAGGAATCTCTGTCTGCCCACTAGACGCGCCAAACTGTACGAAGAGAAATTGCAATTTCATCGCCTGCATATGAGATTCCTGCTGTTGTGCTTGAATCTGAGCTGCTTGGCATTTCTGCTGGTCCAATATTTGCTGCAGCGAGGCGGTGATCTGCGACAACGGATTGGTCTTTCCCTTTCCCAGGCCCTCCGCAGGAGGAGGAGGCGGGGGTGGGGGGCGAGATGTTCCCGCCGCGGTCCCTTGAGTACTCCTGCGCTGTGGAACCTGAGGCGGCGGGGGTGGTGGTCGCACAGGCACATTGTCTTGATCAACTTGCATATGCGAGTCCATATCGGCAGAGAGGTGCTTATTCTGATCGTGATCGAAAGTACTGAGCTGCTCTTTGGCCAACGCGAACTGCTTGTGCAAATCATCTCTTACATTGACCAGCTCGCCCAACTGCTTTTCAACACTTTGAATCTTCTCCTTGAGTATATCTGCTCGTTTGCTGATTGACTTCTGCTGCTCGGCCTGAGGCAAAAGTTGTAATATGGCTGCCTTAAGAACTGAAACCTCAGTGGTCTCGATGGCTGCTGACTTGCCTGCGGCCTTGAGAGATATGGTTAGCTCCGCCAACTGATATATCCTTTGCCCCTGCTTTTGTTTGTACACTTTGGCCTTCTCCTTGTCATCTGGCGGCGGCGGTGGGATCCATGATTCGGCAACTCTGGCAAGGTTTGGATGCATAGGGCCGATATCATTGATAACTCTGCGAACAGGGCCTTCCTTTCTCTTGCGACTAGCAGATCTGTCACGAGTATCCTGTTTGGACTTCCCACGCGATGATGTCCTCTTTGATACATTCTCATGATATGAGCCACCGCACTGCTTGCAATACCAGAAGGAACTCCCATTGGTAGTATAACACTTCGAGCATTTCCAACCACCCATAGCTGAATGATGCCGCCGAAGTCGCTCGGCAGCAGCGCGTACACGAAGGAGCGTGCGGTCAGTAGCTCGTAGTCGTCTCAGCCTGCGGTGCCAGGCTGGCTCGGCCAGGTGGAGGCCGCTTGGTCTCGGGCCTCGGCCCGTGGCCTGACGACGGGTGTCCCGCGGCAGCCCCGTTGGGGGCAGGCCCTGCGGGCGAGGCGGTCCGCCAATGGCGCGGCGGACGCGCGGGGTCGCCCTGGCGGGGCGCGCGGCCGCGATGGGGGGGCGCCGCGCCCCGTTCGATTAGGGCAACGCCTTCCTCCTCCTCCTCCTCCTCCTCCTCCTCCTCCTCCTCCTCCTCCTCCTCCTCCTCCTCCTCCCATCCTCAGATTCCTTCTCCTCCTCCTCCTCCTCCTCCTCCTGCTGCTCCTCGTCTCATTCCGAAGGAGGAGGAGGAGGAGAGGAGGAGGAGGAGGAGGAGGAGGAGGAGGAGGGGGAGGAGGAGGAGAAGGAGGAGGAGGAGGAAGAGGAGCAGAAGGAGGAGGAACAGGAGGAGGATGAGCAGCAAGACGAGGAGAGGAAGGACGGGGACGCCCTGCGGCCGCAGACCCTGACGCATTCCGTCTCGTTGGGCGCCCACATCGTGGGCCACCGATTAGTTTCCCACTATTGTTCGCCATGCTGGATAATGTTTGGGGGCTTGTTCTCCTACCGCATAATGCTCCCTGGGCTGCCCTGCACGACAGAGGAATGTTGAACACGCTTGTCAGAGGATTGCAATGTAGATCGACACAATCCTCGCCGACGGCATTGTTCACAGTAGTTTCCTTCATCTCGTCGTATGTGCTGTGCGTTTGCAATTTACCTGCACAGTCTGCATCAACATCTTCGTCGTCGGCGCCAGCCTCGCGTGTCACCGATTAGTTTCCCGATGCGGGTGCCGCAGAGAAATATTGATTCCCCATCATTGTTGATAAGGTCGTCGCAAAATGAGCGTCCAACTACTGGGGGGTTCTAAAGACCTATCGCGCTTACACGGACTCTGCGATATTTTTACATTCGCATGGTGCGTCGTCCGTCTTCCTTGTCCGTGGTGTGGGATCGCCCCCCTGAGGGGCAACGGACTCTACTTCCTGCGTTGTTTAATTGCCTCCTGAAGTGGCGCCCGGCCTCTGTCAGCCCAAACGGTACTTGACCGAACAACATCGTCGACCGACCCCGTGCCCGAATATGTAAAAAAAATCGTGTGACCTAAATTGCGAGCGAAATTCAAAACCGCGTTGGTTTCGAAACAAGAATCTCTGTCACACTCTGGGACGTTTGGATAAATCGGGCGCTGGTTTCGGTCACACTCGACGAGATTTTCGGGCACAGCTCTCGGTCACTAAACCCCCTGATAGTGACGAGTCTGGGTGATTTGTCTGGGTATTATGCCCTTCAGGACCTGAAGCTTCTGCCCAGCGGCGTGGAGTCGGGCGGCCTGCACCTGGTCGGCTGCAGCAACGGCGCGGCTGCCGCACTGGCGGCGGCCGTTGCCGCGCCAGAGCTGGTGCTGTCGCTCAGCCTGGTGGCAGGCTTCATCCCCGACGAGCTGAAGGACTCAGGGGCAACGTTCGGGGGTGATAGGCTCAGGGCCTAGGGGGGTGACGAAGTTTCGAGGGTCGAGGTTCGAGATTTTCGCACGTTTTCGTTGGTCCTCGGCGGCTTTCCAGCCTCGGGGTGCCTGCAGCAGCTGCGCCTCGCCAAGAGCGTTCCGGGGAGGCCCGAATCGTCCAGAACGGCCGCCGGAGAGCCGAGTTGTGACCCGAAAGCCAAGGGGTCGGGGGTGGACAGATCTCCTACCCTGACACGTCGATTAGTGAATTGTCCGTTTTCGGTTCTCGAGAGGGCGCCGCGGCCGTTATTTTCCAGGCTTGCGCCCGCCAGGTTTGGGCCCAAGGTCGTTTTCACTAAACCATGTTTTGCTAAAGGGAGGTCTGTCCATCCCCGAAGGGGCAACGTTGCGGGGTGACAGGCTCGGGGGCGGACGCACCACCGCCAGAATCGCCCAGTCATCGCCGACAGGGGCCATCTAGTCCACCTCGGCAGGACCGTGCGAATTCGCCATCGGGGGGCCTTCGACGACCTATCGGCGATCGATCGTCGATTCCAGCTCGAGGTTCCCCCCCCCCCTGGGCTGTTCCCCCCCCTACCGTTGCCCCTCAGAAGGATGTCTCGCCGCTGCGGGGCGTGCAGGGCATCCAGATGTACGTCGGCAGCAAGGACACGACGCACCTGCAGTCGCTGACGGAGCTCAAGTCCTGGCTCGACGCCAGCGGCATCCCCTCGGAGCTCACCGTCGTGGAGGGCGCCAGCCACGGGAACATCTCGAGGATGAGAAAACAGCACAGACAGAATTTTCCGGAGCTCCGCGCGGATCTCGTGGATCTGCACCGAGCCCCGCTGGCGGCACCCGCGGCGCCGCCGCGTCCCGCGCGCCAGGGAGGGGAGAGCTCCGGCGCCGACCCAGGAGGTCCGCGCGGACCGTTGAGGGGCTCTGTTTTTGCGCAGTCGTTGTCTTTTCCTCCCGCGTCGGCCGCCGCATCGACGCCGTGGCGTTCTGGGAGGCCCTGGAGCGCGGGCGCCGTCGGAGCCGCGGCAGGTCGGCAGCGTCGGACCTGTCCTCTCAGTCCCAGTCCTCGATCCCAACACCGGGCCACGGCATCTCGGCCCCGCCGGCCCGCGCCCCCGGGCGAGGATGGGCCCCGCGAAGCCCGACGCTTGGCATCGCTTGGACGTGTGCGTTTTTTCCTCGGCGAGGACCATCGAGGAGCATCCTTGATCATGTGGCGAAAACCACGCACGAAAGCGAAAAAAACACACGGAATGGACGTCCGAGCGATGGCGAGTGACTTGTCCTCAATCCCAACCGGGCCAGGGCATCTCGGCCCCGCCAGCCCGCTCCCCCGGGCGAGGAGGGGCCCCGCGAAGCGCGACGGGAGTCGCACACATCCCCACCCTTTTGGGCGTAAGTCGGGCGTGTCCCTCTACAGTAGGAGAATTCAAAAATGGCCCGAAAGTAGTATGGGGACGGTTCTTGTTTGACTATTGTTGATTTTCCGTCCAAAATCTGCTTGTAGGAGGACACGATCGACCATTGCCGCGCCAGTGGGGATGGGGAAAAGGTTCCCAGACATGCGGTGTCTTCATCAATTCAATGTCAGGTCCACGGAAGTTCCAACCCTTTCCCAGGGCCGGTAGTTCATCCCGAGGCTTTTTTCTACGGTTTTGGGTTCTGACAAGAGTTTCCTGAGGCCGGAAACGGCAGAAAACCGCCCGCCGCAATTTATCGGCGGCGAAATCCGAACCCTATCCTCGCCGATCACCGATTCAGGCAGCACCATGGGCGGCGGGGGTGTAGGGTTCGGAATTCGTCGAGCCCGTGGCGAATTCCGAACCTTACCCCGCCTCCCATCGAGTCCAGAGCCTCAATGGTTGGCTGGGTTAGGGTTCGGATGTCGCCACCTACAGCCGAGGTTGATTAGTAGGTCGACCCCGCCAAATCAAGGGCACCCTTGCGTCCTGTGTTTCGCGACCCATGCCTTCTACGTTCCTATTGCAGTGCGGCCCTCGGAAGGGTCTTTTGTCGCATGCCTAGAGGTTGACACCAACACCAATACCAGCGGTGTGCCTCCACCGGGGGAAGACGATCCCGATCTCGGTTATGGTGGTAATATTCGAGCTGCCTATACGTGGTCGAAATATTACCACCAACACCGAAGTCTAGGATCATCTTCCCTTTGTAGAAGCACACAAGCACACCCCTGTGTTGGAGTGGATGCCCACTTCCAAGTCTCCAATTTTGTGCCCTCCCGCGTGCCCTCCCCAACCCACCCCGACTGTACAGTCAACCCGCACGGTAAGGATGGGCAACCTTCCCAAGGGTACCCTTTGCATCCTTCCTTCGCCTGCGGCGCGTCCTCGACCGCTTCCACTGGCCGCGCCCCGCTCGAAAAGCCTCGAAATGGCCCTCCAAGGGCCTCGCATCCTTGTCGCGCATCCTTCTGATACGAGCCGGCGACGACGACGACGACGACGACGACGACGACGGCGACGGCGACGGAGACGGCGACGGCGACGACGACGACGAGACGACGCTGCACAGGGCCGCCGGCAAGCCCTCGCGGCGGCGGGCGGCGAGCCCCGCCGACACCCCGCCGCCAGCGGCGAGCTCGGCCGCTGCGCCGGCGGCGGCCGTCGGCGGAGGGGCGCCGCGCGAGCGCGCCGAGGCCTCCGAGTCGGCGGCGCACCGCGCGGTGGTGCTCCCGAGCGCGGGCGCGACAGAAGTCGAAGAAGAATATGGGAACGAGCAACGACATCGACATAAAAACTCGGAGGTCCGCGCGGATTGCTCGGAGCGGCGCTGGATAGCCTTGGCGGCGCCTCTGGCGCCGCCCCTGGTGCGCTCCGCGCGCCAGGGAGGGGGGGCCAACGCCGATCCGAGAAATGAGCAATCCGCGCGGACCTCCGAGTTTGTATGCTTATGTCAGTGTTTGTTTCCCTACAGAAGTCGAAGAAGAAGTCCAAGAAGTACAGTCAAACCGCACGGTAAGGATGGACAACCTTCCCAAGGGTACCCTTTGCATCCTTCCTTCCCCTTCGGCCCATCCTCGACCGCTTCCGCTGGCCGCGCCCCGATCGAGAAGCTTCGGAGTGGCCCTCCAAGGCCCTCGCATCCTTGTCGCGCATCCTTCTGATACGAGCCGTAGATTAAGCTCAAGTCGAACAAGAACATGCCGCCTGTAGGAGGACATGCCCGACCTAAGAGTAAGCTCTCGAAGCTCCGCGCGGAGTGCTCGGGTCGGCGCGGGGCCTCCCCTGGCGACGCCTCTGGCGCCGCCCCATGGCCCGCTCCGCGCGCCAGGGAGGGGAAGGTCCAGCGCCGATCCAGATCGAGGACATCCGCGCGCACCGTCGAGAGGGTTTGTGCATGCCGTTGTTTCTTCCTCTGAAGCGAGGGGTCCGACCCTGAGGTCCGGGCGTTGCGAGTGTTTCGCACCGCCCGGTTTTCTGCCCCTTCTCTCGCAGCAGGGCCGAGTGGAGACACTGGTAGGTGACATTCGGGGGGCCCCCTCGTCGCCACGGCTGGACACGCAGCTCGGAAACTGGTGCGTTTGGACCCCAGGAGGGGTCTGGGGGGACCCATTTTGAGCTGCCGTGATCTCAACTCGCCCTGCTCAGAGTTTCGGGCCCAAAACCATCAGAGATCAATGCGGCTCGAAAAATGCCGCAGGAAGATGAGGTCTAAGGCCAGGGTCGTGATTGATCGCGATGCCGCATTTTTTCGCAACGTCGGATCCCAGGGTTTGTCTCAGAGCGGAGAAGGTACCGATAGTGCTGCTCGTCCTGGAGAGCCCTCGGCGACACGGCCGGATTTGCTTCGAAATTATGGTCAGAACACTTCTGGGGACGGGCCTGGGGAGTAGCGGCATCGGTACCTTTCGTTCCCTCGCTGTCTCATTGTCGGCGCCGACGGCGGCGGCGGCGAGAGGCGACGGGCGACGGCGGCGCCGGCGGTGGGCGGGGGAGCTCCTTGGAACTGCTGGGGCGAGTTTCAGTTGCGCGCTGCGGGCGGCGGCTGGTCCCTCCCCATGCCCCTCCCCCGCTCCCCGGCCCTGCCAGCGGGAACCGGGCGGCGGGGCCGGGCCCGCCGCGAGCACGCCCGCCGGAAGCCTCCGTATAGATCCTCCCCTGTCCGCGGAGCCCTGCTGCGTCTCCCCCGCGTCTGCGGAGGGCCGGCCGGCCTCGTTTCGGCGGGCCCTGTTATTGACTACCTACCAGACCACCCCAACCCAACCCGAAGACCCCAATTTCGGGTTGGGGGGGGTACGGGTTCCATATGTGTTTTTTCAATGTTCCCCGACCCCCCCCCAACTGGAAATGGAGGGCAAATTGAGGCCTTCGGGTTGGGTTGGGGTGGTTTGGCGGGTGGTGAGTTATATACCTCCCCCCGTCTCTTGACCCTCCTCCCTTGTCGGCCGACTCGCCCCATGCCTCGTCTGCTCCTCCCCCTGCTTCCGGCAGCCCTGTCCTGCCCGCCGATCGCGCGGTGTCGTCTGCGGGGCCTCGTGGGGGCGCGGGGCTCGGATGTCTCGAGCGCCCCTCCGCCCAGGAGAGAACCCACCACAAGGAAGGATGGGGTCACGCACGCGTTGAGCTGTGATGGGAGGCGCCTCGCCGTGGTTCGAGCAGCCAAACACTGCACGAACGTAAGCCTTCGACAGTCCGCACGAGCTTCTTGGATCTGCGCTGGGCCCCCCTGGCGGCGCCTCCGGCGCCGCGCGCTGCGCCCGCCAGGGAGGTGGGTCCAGTGCCGATCCAAGAATCCGTGCGGAGGTTCGAAAGTTCCCCAATCCATGCCTGCACGGAAGGGGGTCCAGGCCGGATGTTGAAAGATTTGGCGAAAGTTCCTGGCCGATTTCGGTGGGCCGCCGGGTTCCCAAGTTCCCGGCTCCTGGTTCCCAGGTTCCCGGTTGTTGGTTCCAGGCCGATTTCGGGTTCGGATGTTTTTGGTATTCGTTAATCGATCGGTTTCACCATCGATCTCATTACCCCTTTCTCTATCTATCTGTCTCACTATCGATCTCACTAAAAGTTATCGAACTCATAATCGATGTCACTGTAGATCACACGAACGATCTCACGATCGATCACGCTATCGATCTCCTTGACTCGACTTCACTACCGATCTCACGATCGACCTTACTATTGTCCTCACTATCGATCTAACTATCGATCTTATTTTTGGTCGCAGAACCGATCTCAGTATCCGTGTCATTAATTTTCAAATCATCAACGTATTATGGGTGTCCTCTGGTGCAAACGTTGTTCATGCAGGTTTTTCTTTTTCTAGCGATGAAGAAGTGTGAGAGCGAGAGAGAGCTTCTCCTCAGCGCGCCCGCCTGGGCGAGCGGGTCCAGTGGCCCCTGGCCTCACCTGGTCCTCGCTGCTGCCTTCGGGCAGGGCGCTCCTGCCACTGCTTCTGCCCGCCCTGCCTACCAGACTCGGAGTCGGAAAAGGCTCCGACGCCGCTGCCCGTCCCCCGCTGTCGCGGCCAGAGATTCGCCTTGGAACCCGCACCGGGACGCACGCCCGGGGAGCAGGCACGGGGAACAGCAGTGCATGCGCCCGTCCCTGCCCCCTCATGCGGACCCCCAGGCTCGGACGACGGCCCCGGCCCGCCGTCTCCAAGCGTTCTGTTCGCAGCGCGGGCGGGCGCGAGCGCGGAGAGCCGACGGGCCGCGCTGCAGCGGGCGCACCAGAGCGGGCGGACAAGCAGCGCGGGGGCGGCCGCGGAGGAGGGGGGGGGCAACGGAGGCCCCGGCCCGCCGGGCGTCGGCGGAGATGAGCGGGCGCGCGCAGGCCTCCTCTATAGGCACGGCCGGGGGGGCAGTTCTGTGCCTCCGCCCCGTCCGCGGCGGCCCGCGGCGGCGCCATGGCCCTGGCGCTCGGCGGCGCCGCGCGCGGCGGCGCCGCCGCCGCGCGGCGGTGCGGGCGGCGGGCGGCGGCCACGAGCGAGCTGGCGGGCGCCCGCCGCGGGCGGGCGGCCCAGGAGGGCCCGGCCTGGCCGAGGCCTGCTGGGGGCCCGGCGTCCACGAGGGCCGCCGGCCGGGAGCGGGGCCCCCACTCCCCTTTCCTCCTCCTGCTCTTCCTCCTCCGCCTCCTCCTCCTTCCTATCCATATCCTGAGCCATCGAGCTCCTTCGTGTTTCTGTTTTGTCTGGGGCCCGCGGTCGTTCGTTTCGCTCGGCCCTGGGCTTTCCCTCTCGGGTCCT